GTAGATGAATGAACCAGAATGGAATCAAATAAGTACTTACAGCATATGAATCTATTTTTGAGGAAGATCAGGTATGTTTATGATCAGTTTAGTGTCAGATGAGTGAGATTTCACTGGGAAACAAAACGTGCCAGAATCTTCTGATAATGAAAAGAAAGTGTCTGAAACTCCAGCAGTTTATGTTTTTTTGCTGATGCTATAATAGTCTTGTTAGTATCTTAATAATTATTTAGCTGATGATCAGAGACCATAGACAGAGAGCAAGGTTCTAATGTGGACAAACACGTAAAGGCAATGCAGCAACTGACTATCCACACCAATTTATTTCATCAGCTGTGTGCTGAGCCTCCCAAACAAGACTGTACACAGCAGTTTTGAAGCAGCTCCTTGGAGCTATCTGAGGTAGGAAAAATCATTCTTGGTTGAGCTAATGTTGAAGAGAGTGGAAAAAACATGACAGTCACAAACTCACAGCCACGCTTTCCACAATACTCGTCGTTTATTACTGACGCATCAACCTCATCAAGCTTGGTTGTACAGCTACTATTTAATCATACATGAACAAAACATGTCATCTAAACGTTACGGTTGAGTTCAGAGGCTAAAGAAGAACAGGAGCTCAGCAGCAGGCATCCATTCACAGCAGGTATAACGCTCAACTAACTCAAGACAGGCTGGGCGCTGTCTGATGACATTTCTCTCATATCTAGGCAACACAGTCTCCTAAAGGCACATTTTAACAGTTTTGGCTGTTACAAAGCCCCAGCAACACAGAGAGCTGAGTTCCCTGAACAGTGAGCAACTAAGCACAAGGTACTAAAATGGAACGAAAAACATTCACTGGCCATGGGAAACATGAAAAAAAAAATCTGCCATGTCTTTTCCTGTACTTTCCAGACCTTTTAAAAGGACAAGAGCCCTAAAATCTTCCTTGTGGGCTAGTCAACCTGCGAGTAACCACATCACTCCATCCTACCTCGGACAGTTCAGGACAAGCACTGAGGAGACAATTAAAGGACCAGCGTGTAGGATTTTGTTGCATCCAGCCGTGACACAGTAGATTGCAACCACCTGAATAACCACTCACCTTCCAAGTGTGTAGGAGAAACTACCTAAACTTGTTCATTTTTCAGGTGATTATAAATTAATGAAAACACACCTATGAATGTTATATTCCATTTCTGCCAGTAGAGCCTCCTAAATATTAAACACCGGACCTTTACGGTGGGGAAACAATCCAGCCAGTGAGATGAGGATGAAATCACAGCAGTGCTCTATCAAACAGAAGCTGAAGCACTGCAGAAAGTAAAGAAAGTACGATACCTTAAAAGACCTTGATTTGCCTCATTAGCGTTGGTTGTAAAACCTGATAGACATGAGTCTCTCTAACAGGCCAATTTGAGGGTGTCACTGTATCACATTTAGAAATATGAGATGGAGAACTGCACCAGGGGCCAAAGGTCAGATGAACAGAGCTGGGTTGTTATTCATGCAGCATGAAAGGTATCAGGGACCACACAAACTATTGGCTGTGTCATAGGGGACAGCAGCATTGCGCCATCACAACAAGCACATGGTGTAATTGCGTCACATTTCCCCCTAAATTTTTCCCCCAAATGTTTTTAATAAATTTTTCATTTTCATGATTAAGTATCTAACAATTGGTTCACTGTCACAAAATGAAGCAAAGAACTGCATTTGGACTGCATATGAAAGAAAAAACTAAAATTGCCTCCAGACACTTGTGCAAAGTAAAATAACTCACAAAGGAAACTGTGATCTTTCATATTGTGTGAATATAACGTACGTTCAACCTCAGCTCATTACATTGCTCCTTTTCTCTCTAATTCATTCACCTGTCATTTTCCAAAAGTCACTAACAAAGTAAAAACAAAAAAAGACTTATTATAACAGATTCTGTATGCTTTCAATCACTGTAGAGACAGTAACAGTAGATATTTAAATTAGGAATGCTTTGAATGTTTAATTTGAATAAAGGTTAATCAAGTAGCTTACCTATTTGTACAAATAGCAAACTTTCACCATAATGATATTTTTCTTCCAGAAAGTTCCCAGTTGGACAGCTGGCTGTTTCTTGACAATGTCATCAATGTGGTTTGGGCTTCCAGAAATAAACTTTAGTATCTCTGTGCTATGCAAAAACAGGCTCTGACCTGCTAGAGACTCTCCTTTTGAATAATTAGAAATAAATTATTGTGTGGTTTGGCTCTGATCTGAATCAGAGGCATTAGAGTACCTGGTACAGTAGGTATGTAGAGCATATCACTTCACAGTGTGCACTAGTTTGTACAATAGCTGCGTATGAGATACCTACTGATCCAAAGTGTTGCAGTGTTTTAGCTTGGTTTGTTAGGACTTGAACCGACAAGTGTTCAGTTTATTGCATTTTAGTTTTAACCTTGTCACTGTTGCTGGTCTGAAAATTGGTCAACAAAAATATTTTGAGGCAAAAAAACACATTGGTTTTGTAGGTGACAATGTGTAATGTGACAAAGAGACCAGTAAAAACTGGACATTTAAAAACCAGAGCTGTACAGGGCAGTATTGTTATACCAACTGTAAAACAAACCTATTGCTCATACAGCTTGACTTTCCCAGAGAATTTGGGAAATTTACTGACTCACTGTGCATTAAACACTCTTTTCAAAATGCAGCTACAATACCAGAGATCATAAAACAGTTCAACACATACAGTAGACCTGGCCAGATCTGCAACCACCAGGGCCACATAAAGACAGTGCACAGTTCCACATGGACCCAAAGAAACTACAGCCTAAACATCAGCCACTGACAAGCTAACTTCAACTATCGGCTGAATGATGTAAGGACATGTCAGAGTGTGATATAATGTCTCTCAAAATGGGACTAAAATGTGATAATATTAAATACTCCCAGACCACTTACAACTGCCTGACTGGTAATTGTATGTTAGAGGGTGTAACTTAAATAAGGGCCTTTTTGGAATTATTTTGAGTTCTTAAATATTATTACAGTAATCCTGTCATTACTATTTAATCATGTAACAACAGCAGTTCTTTGAGCAAAATGCCAACATCAGAATGCTAACATGCTCACAATGAAATGGTAACATGCTGATATAAAACAGGTAAATTCACCATCTTAGTTAGGCTGTTACCTTTTGCTAATTAGACCCAAGTACAGCTAAGGCTGATGTAAATGTAAAATTTGAATTTGGTCATAAAGCAAATAATTGTTGTTGTTATTTTGACCTGATGGTGGCGCTAGATAAAAAGTTACACCACCGCATTTATTTTGAATTTATTACATTTAAAACTTTTATTAAATTTTGATCCCTGACTTATTACAGTATTTTGACAAGTTATGAGGTATCATGTTTGGTCAAGCAGAGTGCACCAAACCAGCTGACCGTCAGCTGATCCAAACAGGCACCGATGACTGACACTTCAAACAATCTGTTGGAGCTGCCAACTCCTCGTTCTTCCCTGTGGTTCTTTCCTGCTCCATGCTGCTGTTGTGGCTGCTGATGAATATCTGTGCTGCTTACTCCCTCTACCAGGCAAACCTCCACCTGTTATGGTATTCTTTTTATCAATGTGCTTGCAATGACATCTCTTGCTTTGAGCATAATTTACAGTGTGTATTCCATATGTCAGGGTATATATCTGCCAGAAGCCCCCTAACCCCCGGAGGGGAGAGCAGAACTTGTAGCACCAACTACAAAGTTTTATCAATTCCCACTATAATATATAGTTTCAATGATGAGAGCAGTTCTGATTTAAATTCAATTATCCAGATGTTTTTACATTATCTCTTGGCTTGGAGCAGGGGGGAATCTCCTGTTCAAATGTCTGGACCAGCTGAGAAAATGTCAGTGGGGAGAGTGATGAGAAAAAATCTCTTCTCCCTAAAAAACAGCTGATGAGTTTAAATCCTCAGAAACTGAGCCAGCAAAGTCAGGAAAGCAGGAAAATAAATGATTTAACACTTGCAGATTAATGCTTTTTGTGCAATTGCTTGATTTAGAGTCATAAATCACAATTTACTTTCCATATGAGGGATCACAATTTAGAGTGTGTTAATGGTGGAAATGCGATCATCAAGGCCAAAACGAGAGATCAGAGTATTTGTACTTTGTATCTTCATTAAAGCTTAATGTTGCAAAGATTGTCACAGTGCATGGGAAACACACAGGGTTAACAGAGCGAGGTCAGCACGACCAACTGGAAATGAACTCCTTCTCCAACATATTTCTTTGAGTTAAACCCTGATCAAAAGAATGTTAAAGTGAATCCAGCATACTGAATACATTGCCAGCCATAAGCAGGCCCACACAGCGACTGCTGTCTCTCCAACTCTGAGCTCACAGGTGTGTTTTCATGGTGTGTATTAAATACGGGGTCAGAAGTACAAATATGTACTACATTGAGATCCCAGATCTCCTGCTTCAGCCCAAGGGGGAAAAAAAACTTCCCCCTGACCTCCACTTCACTCCTCCATTTGATATACAAAGAGCTCTCACTCTGGTGCTGTGCTGCCCTCTGCTGGTAACAGCCTGTAGCTTGTTCGGTCATACTACAGATTCATTCTCCACAATTTATACACCTTTTACAACCAAGTGCCTAAGACATGTCACTTAAATGTGTACTGAGTTTACGGTGATCCTCACAATGTCTGGGTTAGGATACAGTCATGGTTTACCTAGACGGTAGAGATATTTCAAATAGAAAAATGTCTCATTGCTAAAACTGAAGTATATTCCAAGATTGCACCATGGGATATCCAAACAAAGTGTTGACCAAAATATTTGTACCACCCCCTCATTCATGGATCTTTATACATCCATCATGTCCTCTTAATAATTGTACTTAAATCATGAACGACAGGGATCCAACAACAATGCCAACTAGCATGATGCTGGTGATAAAGAAAACCAAACCAACTCTACAATCATTTTCTGAGTTTTTAAAATATAAAAAAGTGTTTATACAGTGGCCTACCGTACACTTTCCTGCCACACAAAGAGAAGTGTCATTCTGCCCACACGGCGTCCCATCAATCACTCTCTCTGATTGACGCACGTAGAACCTGAACCCTATGGCCCGGCAGTGGAGTTCACAATGCTGATCCCCAGGAACTGAAAGGAGATTTAGGAGACTTTAAGAAATGTCCAGAAATTTCAGTAACATATCAGTATCACAGTGTACAGTGATGAAACATGGTAGACTAGCAACAGTAGGTGCATAAAGACAATGAAAGACAATAAGATATAGTGTGAAAACAGCTCTATACTTTCATTAACTTCACATATTAACATTTAATTCAATATTTAGTAGTAGTATTTGAAATACAAGGAATTGATTAGAGAGAGAGATTAGAGCACGGTGAATGCACATTCAAAGGATGAGAACTGTAAATTACTGTAAATACTGTTTTGTAGCATAAGAATGTTCACATCCTCAAATACTTAATTTCCTGAAGGATTAGAGGTCAGTGAAAAATCACATAATACAGGGCACCATTATGTCATCATGTTACTAATAAAAACAGTAATTACAACAATATGTATTGTATCTTTGTGTCTCGGCCACTGCTTTAAACATGCAGTGAATTACAACAGAGCAATCATTTAGAAATAATGTGTGTTTAAGTGCCCTAAAGTAGCAGATAAATGGAGTTTGCAAATTCCGTATAATTCAGACAATCAAGTCAGTCAATCAAATGTTAAACTTTGTTTTAACCAGCTCTTTGATTTCGACAAAAGATTCTGTGTTTCATTCGATGACACTAAAACAGCAGTGAGCGACCACGAAGGATCCTGATCCCTGTTCTTTACATTTTGTTCAGGTGGTTTATCAATTAGATATACTATAAGCTCAAAAGCAAGGTATTTCTTAAACAGATGTACAAGAGTATGTTAAAGCACTGTTCAAGATGGGTGTCAAATAATCCAGACTCAACCTCATACATTTACCTGAGGTTATTTCATCTTTACATCTGCATTACCCTTCAGTCAAGGCTGCAGGGTGAAGACGAGATCTCAAAATACACGTCTGTTTGACAGGATATTAATTTGGAGACTTATTTCCATTAGTGTTCTCAGAGAAATTACATCTCAGGAGGTGTTGTGACTGTTGCCTGGATACTTCAGGTGAGTTAGGACAGAGAGTTTCTATGAATGAACATTCATCAGTGAGCCTACAGACAGATGACATACTGCGGCGCTTACATCACAACACACCTTCGTTCATATGGGTCATAGGTCAGGGAGCTGTAGATGTAGCTGACAGCGAAAATGTGATTAATTTTTACATGTGTGTGTCAGGATTGTGTACTCTTTGCATTAAGATCCCAACTTATTCAGACATCTGAGCAGGACCCATCTGGTTACACATTTTCAGTCACTTCTTAAACACATTTTTACAGGTTTTGAACTCACATTAGAGGGGGGGTTAGCGTGTTGGTCTGTTGGTTGTACAGCCAGTCCAACACTTGAGTCCATGCCATGAGATTTCTGTACATTCATGGTGCTCAGAGAGTGAAGCCCACTGACTTTGTGGTTTCCCTAGACTCTAGCGCCACCCTGAGGTTAACGTTCGTAGATTTGAGTGACACTAAATTACCATGAAAATTGTAACACACTTTCATGTCCCCTCAGAATAAACTGCAATAATGTTGATGACTATAACCATGTATGCAGTGCTTAAAGGTCATATATATATATATATATATATATATATATACAGAAAACCACTGTTATTACACCAGTGGCCGTTAAGGGAAGTGCAGTCAGTATGATGTTGCTCGGACTCTTTACTGTACAATTAAACCCAATATTGAACGCAATAACTGCAGGAAGCAGACGTGAGTTTTCCTGATAATTTGAAGGAACTTTTTATACAATTTTCTGTCTGTATTATGTTTTATTTTTCAACAATCATACATACTTTATAAGCTTCTTTTGTAGTAAACTCATGGTTTTCTTCTCCCTGATGCCTGGCAATTGTTCTATTAGTGCTTTGGTTGTTTTAACTGAATACCTTTCTGAAGCGGGAGAGGCTGTGAGAGGGAAGGCTCTGTGAGTAGGCTTTTGTGTTCAGGTCTTCACCATACCCTTATCCTGTGAGATATAAGCTTAGATATAGCATGTATATTTTCAAAGTTTTCTTACACCCCCTAAAATCCAGAAGACCCCGACCCTAAGTTTGGGAAAAATTGTTCTAACAAAAACATGATTCTTATATTCAGGTGATTATACACTAATGAAAACATACCTATGAATATTATGTTCCATTTATGCCAATAGATCCTTTTAAACACTGGACCTTTAATTTTATGACCAAATATCAGCAAAACCAATTATATTCCCCTCAGCCTCAGCTGTACTTTGTGTTTCCATATGCACATAGTGTACATACATAAATACAAACATCCAACCTACCCTCATTGAAAGGTTCCCACTCATACAGTCTGCCCATGAAAGGCTGGTTGTTGTATGAAGAACACTGAACAGCCCTGATGTGTCTGCTGGATGGAGGACAGGTCTGAGGATGGACCAGACACACACACACACACACACACACACACACACACACACACACACACACACACACACACACACACACACACACACACACACACACACACACATTAACATACATACTTATTTTCCATGAAGACACACAGTCCAACAGGTAAATCCTTCTGTAACTGCAGCAAGCTCACATTTCTCATTGTCACACTGCGTGGCCATTGATTGACGGTTGCAGTCCACCTTCTCTGTTTTAACTGTTTTAACACTGTGCTTGTAGCTCAGGCTTTCTTGCCAAAAGTAGTTCGATTCCAGTATTTATGAAGCCTCGCCTGTGAAACTCAACCTCCCTGACATCTCTCTATATCTCCTTTGTCTAAACAAAGACAGGTCTGCTTTACTTTGCTTGAATCTCTGTGTCATCACACACCAGAGACAATATACAAAAACCAGACACTGTTTGAATTTATTTTAATGCACAGGATGGATTCCATAACCTCGGATCAGATAAGCAAAGCCCTTCATTCACTTGTGTGTATGCCTGGGTTTAACTGAAAAGGTTTCCTAAGCCGATAGTTCAACCAATATTTTTCTACTGGTAACAGTAGAAAACATTTAGTGTAAGTATTAAATAGCTTTAAATTGGAACATAAGTTTCACTCCAAAATAATGCAAAAGTTCTTGTTTCATAATTAATAGTTTTAGAATGAAGGGACATGTCACAATGTGGCTCATTAAAAATAAAAAAAAATTGTTTTGTATCTGTAACCCTGGAGGCCAGTGACAGAAAACATGAGTACCTTGGGAATAGGGTCAAACATTTATAGCTCTAACATTTGGTTTAAAGGACTAAAACTAAAGAGATACTTCCACCTACTGATTTATCAGCAAAACAACATTAAGAATCAATAGCAAATCAGAACTATAAGCAGAATCAGTAACGATATCTATCAATTAATATCCTTGCCTAGCCAACGTGCTAAGAATAATGAGAAAAGGGTGCAAATCTGCATACATTACTGTTGCAGATCCTGTAGTGAGCATGCTCCCCTGTGCAGGAGGAACTAGGTAGGGGGTCGTAGGGCCTCTCTTGGTGCTGCTGGGGTCCATACGTCTGGCTGCCTGATTGTACTTCCTGCTGGACCTGGGCCTGGTTACCCGAACCAGGCTGGTAGAGGGGGGCCCAGACTTGGTTATTTTTGGGCTTCTGTGCCCTGGGCTGCATGTAGGGTCTGCTATAGTGATGGACGTTGGTGGAGGGGTCCAAGTTGTTTGACCTGTGGCCACCGTGGCTTCTAGCGGGTGGGTGGTGGGCATCTGCCGCAGCAGAGCGTCTCTGTCTGTGGGGGCGAGCCGTCTCAACGCCCTGACCTGTATCCGTCTGCAATGGAGCAACATAAGGAGCTCTCCCGTAGCCATACCTCCCCGGGATGATGTGAGTGACCCTCCTGAAGACAAAAACAACAACTAAACCACTGTGCACTTAAAAACTGTCTAACTTAAAAAATATCATCTTCTTACATCAACCAGAGATTGTAGAACAGAGGCCATGCAGCATATTTGGATCAATATGTTCTTTAATTAGGGATGTTTTAGCTAAATTTCATCTTTCAGGGAGGAAACTATTATGGTCCATCATCTGAACTACAACTTTTGAGAAGCATCCAGATCGCAGTAGCAGAATTCTGGGAGCTTTTGTCGTTATTTGGCTCCTTAGATTCCAACTCAAACAACCCCCCATTACTCAGCTGTCAGTGCTATTTGTTTAATGCAAGCACAACAGGAAGGAGGTCACAAAGCTGCCAAGCACAAGCCGAGCCTTTGACTACATCCATAAAAGACTAGCTTTCCACTGAAGGGCAGTCAGATGGCCCACAGCGATGGCTCCAAAGAGTCACTTTTAGACCAGGCTGCTCAGCATGCAGCACAGCCGTACAGGCTCTTTAAGGACTTGCAGATCCCTACAAAGACAAGAACTGAAAAAAAATACTGAAAAGTCTTCCAATTACTTCCAATAGATGGAGACCATTTGGTTTTCACAGTATTTATTAAGTGCTTAAAATGAAATACTCAGGTTAGATAAATAATTATGGATTCTAATGAAAATATAATAGACAATAAATGATCTACATGTCTCCGGAACTCAGCTGGAAGGATGAACACAATTCTTCCTAAAGACCTTCCCTCATTTAATGGTGGTGGTGGAGCAAAAACGTAGCTCCAAGAGATCTCCTCAATGTTGAACACGTTCAGGATCAAGTGATGGTGAAGCTGAGGGCCATAGAATATCATTAATATAATTTTGATACAGATCAAAATATGTGTTGCCGGCCACCCGGTTAGCTCAGTGGGTAGAGCTGGCGACCCGTGTATCGAGGCTGAGTCCTTGCTGCAGCGGCCTGCGGCCCTTTGCTGCGTGTCATCCCCTCTCTCTGCCCCCCTTTCCTGTCTGTCTTAAGCTGTCACTATCATAAAGGCAATTAAAAGCCCCGCAAAAAATAAAATGTATGAAAAAAAATATATATGTGTTGCCTCCCCGTGCCCTGTATGGAAGCATCTGCATTTATTTTCTTTAGTTTAGTTTCTTGATTCATTTATTCATGTTTTTTCCTTTTGTCACCAGTTTACACTATCTAAGCACATCTCAAAATAAAAACACAAAACAAAACATCACAGCCATGGAAAAAAAAAAAGTAAAGTGATTTCAAGACCTCAGATTTTTTGGCTCAAAAGCCAATCCCATCACCCTGTGCTAGATGATACAGTACCTGCGTCCTCCAGGCCGGGTCTGCTTCTCCTCCCTCAGCTCTCCATGATTACTGCTGTTGTAGGACTTGCCTGTGTCGCGGTGCAGAGGAACTGTTGGCCGCAGGGCTGAAATGACAAGGTCTCGTTGCTGAGGGTGAACATCAGCTCTTCTGGAGGGGTATTGGGTTTGTGTGTAAACAGGCAGGCAGGGCCTGCTCTGCTCTTGAACTCCTCTTCCACAGGTCCGGGAGCAGGTTGACCAGGGTCCCCAGGCGCCCCATGAGCCCTGGATTTCTCCATGCTCTGCTCTGAACTCCTGTTGGGGCTCTGCCCTCTGAGTAACCTGTATGGGGATAAAACAAACCCGATTAGCGACACCGCAGAGTGCAAAGAAGTTGGATAGTACCACACAAAGTGAATGCCAAGGATCGATGGAAAGCCTCCATAAACAAGACTTTAATCTCCCCAGATCATGGCCTTGTATAAAGGCTCAAGTCAGTGACCTCATCTCATCAACATGACTATCCTGCCCCTCTGCCTCCCACCACTGTCCATGAAACAGACCTCTGTTCACGGTTATAAAGCCCTGATTTGGCTGATTAGTGGGTGTCTGTTAGTGGGCTATCCCCTATTGGCTACCTGCATTTCTCACTATTGACTCAATCCCTCTGTGCAACATTGCCAGGGACGAATTAGCAGTGATCACTGCACTCTCTGTTTGAGGAACCTGCCAGGAGAAGCCCTGTGCCAAACTGGCTACATACGTGGAGCCGCGTGGAAATCCTGCTCTTTAAGGAGCACTTTGTCTCCATTCACGGCAACCTCTCTGGGCAAACACATGGCCAAAGTAAAAGCTCAGCTGCCTTTGACTTTTAGTGGATGGAAAGAGAATACAGAAGCAGTCGGGAGAGTTGGCAGGAAGCTCTTTTCCTGTCAATCAGCCTATGCAGCTATTCAGAGAGACCTCAGACCCCCACCCCCCACCTCTTCTATCCTGCTTCAGCCTTTGTAACTCAACGCCACTGTCATCTCCGGGGTCAGCCATAGGTCATACAGCTTAATGCCTAGCGGAAAACGCACGGAGCCAACTTGCACCAAAACCCCACGAACTTGACTGGATAGCTGATCTGTCAGTCAGCTTTACCAACGAGGTGCATCCACTTGTTCCCTCTATGTGGGTCCTATGGCTCCAGAGGTCAAGAGGTGGTTTGCTGACAGCTGACATAAGCCCTCTCTGTTTCACTGCAATCAACAGAACTTCTCACTCATGCTCTCATTACAAGCAGATTAGCACCCTGGTCAGGTTCCCCCCTGGGAATACTCTCCTTGTTTACACATACAGAGGAAGTAGGAATGAAAGTGTATAACTTAAGGTGGCATTTGTCTATGCTAACAAGACACAATCATGCGTGCCATCTACCACTAGACAAGCCTTCCGCCAGCCTGTGCCAACCATGCGATTAGACTAATAGATAAAACAACAGAATAAAAAATTCCTGGAAATATATTGTATGAGGGTGCCAGACAGATCACACATGTTACAACAGAGATTTATTTTCCCCCTGCTGCTCACCTTCCTGTGGTCTGTAGTGTGTTGGCAGTTCAGGGGGTCTGACCAAAGCACCAGCAGGAGGACAGAAACTCTAGAAGAAACAGACAGAAGTGAATAATGGTGATGCTGCTAGCATTGCCAGTTTATCAAGAAGAATATACATAGCAGTGCAATGCTAATACAGTAGTATTAAATTGAGGGATTGATGGATAATCAGAGAACTCATTCATCTTCCTTTAATGAATACAAAAGCTTTTAAAGCAATAAGAAATCCATAATTGAAACAATCATTTGACATTACCTGACAATCCTGACAGCGGCTCCCTGCATAGCTGCTGGATTCTTAAAGTTGGACACTTGAGGCAAAACAGAGAAGTTTACATTAGTGTACACGTCTGAGCGGCACTGACATTTTTAACACCAATGCTGTCTGTGTGGCCGCAGGGCAGGGGCACTAAGGGTCAAAACTGTCTACAGACTCCAAAGTCCAACCACCTTCCTAGTCTGACATAAATTCCAAAAACAACAAACAGTATCAAAATGTAAATGATGTGACTTTACTGATAGCCTTGCCTGTGTGCCACAAATATCCCACAAAAGTCAAAACCCTGCCACTCTCATTTGCCGCTACATCCCTCTGAGCTTTCTGCCTGCTGGTCCCTCAAGGCACTGACTCAGGGAAAAAATAAACGACTTCTACCCACTTGACCATGTGAGTTGACCTCTCTGACCTCTGGCTCCTAATAAGGGAGCCCCCCTGCTGAAAAACTCCTGCTATCCCATCAGACAGCAGGTCTAAGGTCCAGTTAGGGAAGGACTTTCACCCCTCACCCCAGACCATATAACTCTAAATTAAGTCTTGCACACTTAAGTGTCCAATTCAGGAGAAAAACTCTTTATACTCACTTTACTTATAAAAAATAATGATAGTAAACTCCTTAAAATGTTATTTAAACTTTATTATTATTCTTAAAACACAGCGAAATAATGAAAATGAACATCCCAGACAGCTTGTCAATGTACCTGTAGGTTATGATGCTGGTGTGGTGAAGTATTTGATACTTCACTGTACTTTCTAACCAGTGTGTCTCACACTGCAGCGTTCACAGATCCATTTCCAAGCGCAGGTATCCGCACAGTCGAAACACTAATCCAGGTGGAACTGCGGGGTTTCCTTCCAGAGACTGTGCGTTAAGCCATGCAGGGTCAGTAAATCCGTAACCAGAGTTGTGAATCAGATCCTGGCGCAGAGGAAACTCCGGACATTGGTCATCGTGGTGATTCCATGGTGGTTCTGCTTTTACGCACCAAGACACAGAATGACAGAAAGCTGGAAACCGACACGGCAGACAGAAAACAAGCTCTGCTGCGCCCCCTGCCGCAACAAGCTCTCCCTCCTGTGCGTGTCATGTAAATATGTAGGTGCGTGTCTCCTACTTTCCCACTGGCGCGAGTGGCTCGGTTGTGTTTGTGTGTGTGGAAGAAACAGAGAGAGAGCTCATCTCCGCCATACTGAAACGTCCTTATTGGAGCCACAGGCGGGTGAAGGATCTGATTGAAGTGAAGTGAAGCCAAAGCTGAAAGCTGCACCTGGCATCTTTTTAGCATGAGAAAAACCCCAGAATACCCTGCGAAATGACATCAGTTAAGTGCATTCAGTGTCTGCTCTGTGATGGTTTAACACAAGACAGCTAAGAGTAAACCGTGAACTTATTTATCTTCTCAGCTTCAGCAGTTTGCATGGTGTTACTTTGGATTCATCACACTGTAAAACATTGATAATAAGTAGAATCAGCAGCAGTTACAAATATCCTCTACAGTGTATGCATTGTAGAGGATATTTGTGATATATTATACAAAATTAAGGGTCAGTTTACCCAAATCACAAAATAAATATATTCACTCCACCTACCCCTGAGGTATCTGGCCATGCAGTCCAGAAGAAAAAAAGTAAAAAGTAATTTGTCTAGTTGATGACATGTTGGCCACACTCTATTTCACTCTATCACTTTTATTGGGTGGTGGGGTAGGTTACTGATAACTTTAGTTACAGGACACTGCATGCAGGAGAAGAATTCCTTGAAACATGCTGTAACTTTAATAACTTTTTCTTGGCATTCAGCTCAGGACAGCTGTATTGTTTTCTCAGTGGTAGAAGAACTACCAAGGAGATGGAGGATTTATAGTGGTCCTATAGCGGTTTATAATCTATTACAGTGCATGACCATTAATTAAGTAGAAGCATGTCACCCAGACTTAGTGTAAAGTAACAAATAAAATGAATTGGACAAGCTACAGTTTAAATGATTTTAAGGTTAATGAAAAATGGGGCATGGTTTATGCAGAAGCTCCCCAAGCTGAGGATGCTCCCAAAGTTTTGCACACTAATGTATATACAGCCCACAGTAGGGGAAATTTGTCTCCAGGGGACAGTTATTGTCATCCACTTTCTTATATTCATAACCTTAAAAGGCTAACCCCAATGTTTCCAAACCCTTCACAGACAAACAAGCTCCCAATTAAAGGATCGTTAATGAACTACTGTTCAGGATGGCCCTTTAAATGGCCTCTCCAGACGTCACATTAAAAGTGTTTGTTGCTCATTTATGTTATCAGATTTTATGTTTCTTTAAGCAATAAACCTCCATTGAAGTTGAAATTTCAGTTTCAGATGGTTATTTTTTGGAGTGCAGGGCTAACAATACACAATACACTTGGTTCATTCCAGGAGAAACTAATAGTTGGTCCTGTGAGGTGGAACGAATTGGCAGCCTTGTCTCCAGACTAGACAAAAGTCTATGAGAGGGTCAAGCACATCAACACTGCAGTCTCCAAACCAGCGCTTACGTTTATTGCTTGTCATTCACCTGAACACAAATTGTGAAGATAATATTGCACAACTGTAGCCTTTTGTTAAGTCCATATTGGTGCAATAATGCTGCTGTTGTTTCACCAACTCTTTTTGCAATTACTTTCACCTCCTCTATGTGTACAAAATTATAATAACATTACTCTGTTAAACAGGTACAGCTATTAAACCTACAGCTGAATGAAACAAGTTCAGGCATGTTCTCTGTGGGTTATCAAAAAGTACACAGGGAATAGTTGTTAATAATAAATGGAAATACTGTAGAGGTACACAAGACAGACTTAGAGTGAGTCCAACAAACACGGAATCACTTTTATACACTTATATGAATAACTGTGTAGTTGTTTTTAGTCCTTCTTGGCCCATGTCCACTGTGCGTTGGCAGAGCGGAGGCCTACAATGATGCTGTTGTGACGGAAAAAAAAAAACACTGCTTTGATTTATCACAAGTCACTTTTATCTGTGACCCAATATCTCAATGGCTCTAACCCAAGTGATTAGGTAACAACTTAGATAAAAATACATTTTAATGAACATTATAACTAAAATCTGCCTGTGTACAGGTCATTTCTGTGTTATCCCCCTTCATGCTTGATTGCATGTGTTTCCAGGGGACAGTCATTGACATCCACTTTCTTATATTCATAACCTTAAAAGGCTCGGTGTGCACTCTTCAGCCTGGTTGTTTAATTATACAGAAAAAAACAGAGCTGTGGATGGTTCTATAGTTTACACCACACTATGTGACATACAGTATGCAGCTCATTACAGCAGTGGTCTGTAAACATGCTGGCTTCACAATGGCTTCATGGTGTAGGAAAACATTATCTGTAAATACAGTGAACTCTACCAGTGTCAATGTGTCTATGAAGTCCATCCACTCATCTACATGCTGCACCATACGTACATATACGTCTCTGTATGTATCTGCAGGGGAGCTGATCCTCAGTGGTGCATAGATATAGATGCTGCTCAGGAATTTGTCTTTAACCCCAATGTTTCCAAACCCTTCACAGGCAAACAAGCTCCCAATTAAAGGATCGTTAATGAACAACTGTTCGGGATGGCCCTTTAAATGGCCTCTCCAGACGAGATTTGGAGAGAGGAGTTTCTGTTGTCAGAGACTGGACAAAAACAATATTCAACACTTGAACAGAATAAAATATTGAACAGCGTTACTACAGTATTTGCTAAATAGATGAATAGGTTAATATAATTAAAGGTTTATTTGTTTAAAACACACTTAAACCAGCCAGATTACTGCCCTGGTAACTAAAATATATATATATATATATATATATATATATATATAAACCGCCAAAACACGATTACCATTTAACACACTGTAGTGTACACACATCGGTTCATTCAAATAAGAAACATTTTCCCCTGTAAGCATGGGCATCAAGTCGTCATGGCAATCTTTATATTTGATTTTGGGGTCTATAAAAAGCTTACATTTTGGCTTGAAGGTAACAAAAGAAGGAAACTCATCTAAAATACCTTGCTCTGGAAGAAGGTGTTGAGTGGATGAATGGACGGAGACACCTGACATCACCACCATATTAAGCCCCAACTCATATACTGAGTGTTCAGAAGAAGTATTATTTTTAATTTGAGCAACAGATTGATGGTGGGTTATTACTCACCAAGACATATTGGCTTTAATATGTTCAGCCTTTTGAACTGCACTGTCTGAACTTTAAAATACTTTCCAACTATGCGACTGGCACTAGTCAGGGAGTTCTGTCAGTCTTTTGGGACTACACTTCTCTGACAATGGTGACAGCCGTAGTCCCATAAAATGACTAAATGTGTCAGCACAAAGCACTGTTGTTTATCAGAGCTGCTTAAAATAAACTTGCTGTAGCTTTGTGATGGCAGGCACTTGTGGTTTCTTGTGAAAGCAGGCAAGATGGCTTTTATTTCCCTGGTTCATATGAGATAATCAGGGGACAGCAGCCCCAAAAAGCAACATATTCTGCAGTCATATTTCTTAAAACATGTTTAGGTATTCGTCTCCGTCTTCTAATTCAGATTAACCAGTATATTGGAGCATAGACACATTAGTAGGAAAATAAGTATCATGAGAAAATCTTCAACAGATTGCAGAGGTCAATGTTAGAACAATAAAGTTCTAACATTAACCACTTCTTAAAAACTTAAAAAGTATTCTTGTTTACAAAGTACTGAATGTACTCCACTAAAGCAACCTTTGACACGACTGTCATAGAAAGCAAAATTACAATCTTCAAGAACTACTAGTCACCGATACTATTGAAAACCAGAAAACAACAACAACAACCCAGCACTGAGAAGAGACAAACTCATTTAACACACAACTGATGCTCTCGTCTTCTTTAAGTCAAATACCCATAATCAAGGCATTCATCTCTAGTGGAGTGGATGACATTGGACAGCGGTACCTGTCAACTCTTTGGTTTATGTGTGGAGGTGTTCTGACACTCCATCCCCCTGCAGTTACTCCTCCAGGTTGTTGCTGCGTTATCCACCTTCATGCTTGATTAAATAAGGGTTAAAAATTTCTTTGAGGGATGGTGGAGCAGGAACAGGTGGTGAGAAAGCCTCTACGCCTCCAGGGACATTCCAGTCTGAGTTCAGACTACCCAGAGGACCCCCTTCATAGCTCCTGGACCTCCAACACACGCGCGCGCGCGCACACACACACACACACACACACACACACACACACACACACACACACACACACACACACACACACACACACACACACACACACACACACACACACACACACACACACACACACACACTCTCTGACTTATGGGAGTCCAATGGCCTATGAGGTGTTAATAATGCAAGTGTGAACTGCCTAAGAGAACCAGCACTTGAGAGGTGGCATTATGTCTTTCTTTACTCAGGCATCAGGTCTTCCCCTGTTCCTAATAACATGACTTTTTCACTCCTGTAGACAGATTTTGTGAGAAAAACAGTCATGCAAACCATGTACACAAACTGAGTGTTAATACAGAATCTTTTAATACTAAGTACAATACAGAAAATCAGTGGTAAACAAAGAAAAGTCCTTGTCCTTGTTCGTGCCCTTCTTTTGATATCAGGCAGGAGAAAGTGAGAGAGCGATGCGTGAAAGAAGATTTAAGACACAGAAAAATCATTCTAGTCTCAACAAAAGAGACACCGCACATGTTCAGATGATGAAAGTAATGGTGAAGAGGGGTCATTCAGAAGACTTTTAAAGTGCAGAGGTTGCTCCGTAGAGACCATAATGCACTGTGAGTCAATAAGTCCCTTTAACTTTCTTCAAGTACATTACAGCTCCGAGCACTGAAGAATCAAAACAGTGTTTTCAGTGAAAATCTACATTCAATCAAGATGCCTTTGTCATGATAATTTCTTCAGACACCTTTAAAACCATCTACACCCGTCCTAAGAAAGAGCTCCCCTCACACTAGGGAAATACAGCCTTCAGTTTCCAAAGATTTTAATAACTGATAGTCAGTGATAAGTCACTAAGTGATGATGTGTTAGAATTAGGGAGTTTGAGATGAAGCCCTGGAGGCGCCCAGGCAAGCTATGTCCACATGTGTGCATGTGTGTGTCTAAGAGTGAACCTTTGGTCCTCTTCACTTGGTCTCAGACAGCTTTGCAAGGCTGGCTTGGCGGAAGGCTGCTTGGTCCCTCATCTCCAACACACAGTCCCTCACCATCTCTGCAAACATGGAGGGCCAGAGCTTGTGCAGAGCCTCGCCCTTCAGATTGGTGTCTGACGCCCTTTGGACCAACTCCTGGAGGTACTGCTCTATCATGGCAGCACGCTCCGATGACTCCACAGTGCCCTCCTGTGAGGAAAAGAAGAGAATATCCTTCATGTTGATTCAGTTGTCATTAAGTATATTAACAATGGAAGGACAAGTGAAACTCATTAGATGTATCATAACTTAAAATTAAGCTATCACAGTGCACATGTTTAATACAGGTTCAGAAGCAGGAGACTATTGCTTAGAATGTCAACTAACAGGTGTGTCAGTATTTGGTGACCGAAATGATTTACACAGGCATTATTACGCACAAATATGTTATAACCTAATGATTTTTTACAGCCTTTAAAATATTCTTTCAATGTCAGAGGATTCTGAAATTCCTGCCAGTGTGTGATGATATACAGTGGTGTTTTAGAGAGTTGTGAAATAACTTAATATTCTTAAACTGCTTTACTTTTGATGACTTGAATTGAGTCACAAAATATAGTTAGACTTCCTAATGCAACGATATCATCCTCATATGTCAACAATTTAGGAGTAACAGTGGAGCTATATACACAGTGTCACAGAGGATAACACTTCAGCTAGACAGACAATACTTCTAAGTATTGCACATATCCCAGCCTAACCCATTAATTGAATTAAAAGTTGCACTTTGATGTAGTTTCAAATCTTTACTAGATGAAAATTGTGCATCTGCGTCTTAATGGAACAAGGATTAAAGTGAAATAGGGGATCTGGACAGGAACCAAGGAACAGAAAAGCAAGACCACCACTCCACACCCTCTTGATGGAAGGGAGTGAAGTGTGTGCCAGAAAGAAATGAGAGGCAATACTAACTACAAAATGCAGTGATGAACTGCTTTAAATGATTGATATTGTTTGTTGATAGAATTAAGCTTCTCAACTGCTGAGTGGGCTGTTATCCCAAATCCTATTTAATTACTGTAGTGGAAATGAACATTGAGTTATGTTTGAGACTAGGAGCACAGCATTGTTTTCATCTAGGAACCACAACACAATAGCACAGAAAGTGAATTCAGATGTGGTTTTGAAATAGTGATGGCAGGTGCCCACATGATCCTGTTTAGTGACACGCACACGCTCACACACCAGTTAGAAAGTGTTTTCCTGTCTGATGCCGTGCTAGATTTATGATGATGGCTTTTACATGGAAATACTTGTGAGTTGGTAAAGTATGCTGTTGCCACCTCATTTAGCGACTTCTAGTTTTTTTTGGGTGAAACATCACCATGAATTACAGCAGAAAGTAATGGTTCAAATGATTTTTAAAGAAATGTACAGGCTGACGTATAATGGAGGTAAGGTATGTCACACCACAACTCAGCAAGGAGCTGTTGGTTGTAGAAAAATTGGTTGATATTGGACTCAAACTAGCTTTTACTAATATTTCAGCCACTTTCCGGAGTTGTTGCAGTTTCCCAAACCACTTGGCAATTGTAAAAAAAGATATAAAACAAAAAACAGAACTGACCTCAGGGCTATCTGCACTGCAGTCTCTGCTTGGGTAGTTGAACAGCGCTCTGCTCAGGCCTTCCCCTAGGAGCTTCCCGTTGTCTCGCAGCTCCTCTGGACTCAGTCCAGCCCGCCGGCCACGCCCCTCCAACAGGAACTGCAGCTGGCGCTTCCTTCAGGGTGAGGAGAGAGGAGAGAAAGTTAGACACCTAGGGGAGGAACAGTGGCAGAAAGTGAGTGACACCAAGGTAAAAAAATATATTCTTGTGTCAATCAAATGACACTTTCTCCTTAGCACTATGAAGAAATAAAAAAACTGACTTGGTTGAGAAATCCATCAGAACTGACGGCAGACAGCGCAGTTGTTGCTGTCAGTGTAAATGTAAGTGTCAGCATTTTAATTTCACTCTTCTCACTCAGCAGCAGGATGTGGACACTTATAAAAGCAGTAGAGGACTTTCAAAGTGATGTAAACTACATCAAATGTTGCTGTCTATCAGTATGAAATCTCATGTGATACACTACTGCACCAACATGTTCCACAGGCCAGTGCCAGGATGCTGAAATAGTCTTTTCAGAGGAAGCTGGAGGCAAACATTCCATATAGGATAAGATAGTTTGTAAAGTGTGTGTGTGTGTATGTGTACGTGTACAGGCGTGCATGCCTGTGTGCACGTGTGTATATGCCAAAACACATTAGTGTGTCAGACACAAGTGAGTAACGAGGTAAAACAAGCTCAAGGAAGGTAGACCTGTGTGTGTGTTCATGTTAAAATCAGTGAGAATCATATGGGCATGGGGAATAGTAAGTGTTGTGTATCCATCTAACAAATCCTATGTGTAATTGAGTGTAAACATCCCTTGAGAGAACAGCAGTTATGATCACGTTGTAACAAACTCAGACTGAATCAAATGGTTCTTGTGCAATGTTGGTGAAAACCTTGAGACACTACTTAAACTTTTTTTAAATTTGTGTTGGAGCCAAAAGTTAACACGATACTGTAGTTCCTGACTGCCTTTTACAAACACACAGCCAATGAAATCTATTTAAAGGTCTTGTGCAATATTGTTGTGTTTTGTAAGATTACGTTTTTATCCAACAAGAGCCTTCAGCATTATAGCGGCTGCATTTGGTGCCACATTAAAACAGTTTCCCTTGATGTCTTCCCTTTCAGTGAGACTCCTAGTGCTGAAATGTGTTAAGTAGAAGCTCTCCTTGTTCTCAACAAGGGTACAAGGACAAGGGATCATCTGAGGTTCAAATCAAACAACCTTGAAAAACCATGACACCTAAGTGTTGTCCTAAAAAACATATCTGATAACAAAATGCTTCAGGCCTTTCTTTTTTATTTACTACACCTTGTGTACAGTGCAGCATTAGGAATAAACAGCCAATGAAAGCAGAAGAATGACAAACAGCATCCTATTAGCAGGACCTTGTGTTGTGATGGTACGCTTCATGCTGGTAGCGAGCACTGTATACCCTTGCTAGAGGGGAGGGAGGAGAAACAAGGAGGTAAGGGAGGATAATACTGCCCTTCATTAAAAAAAAACAACACATTTCTGTTTGATGGTAGCAATCTTTCATCAGGCCATTTTGGGCATTACCACCTTGGAAGACAACAATCGGAAGTAAACATTTTGCATGGAACTGAAACATTAGGAAGCTAGCATTAGCCCAGCAACACTAGCAAGGAAGTGGTACCATAAAATGTTGCTCTTCAAACCATTTTTCACGCCAGGCCAAATGATCCATTTTACAGGAGCCACAGTAAACTGTAACCAAAATCCTATAGCTAAGGAACAGCTGCAACATAAATAGTATCACATCTGGGTCAAACAGAATTTTTTAGGTACATTTCATCCTACTTATAGCTAGCGTTCCTTATGCTGCAAGACACACAGGTAATGAGTTCATGTATTCTGTAAGGAAGTTTACATTGCAGCCACATGTAATATAACATCCAAAGCATCTTACAGAAGTAGGATCCTAGTGGGAATGTTAAGGGCCTAGCTCTACACACTAACTTAGGCAGGAACCATGACACACAACCGTGTTCAGTGTTAAACCCACAACCCACTGAGCAACACAAGAGCTTTGTGGGAACCTGACACATAAACTCTATTCTATTCTATTATTGTGTTTTCTGCTTTTTTGCAGTATTTTTCCATTCAGAAAATAGACTTTATATGACATACAGCCTACAACAGGAAGGTTTTGGCAGATAAGAGGTCCAATCTAACAGCATTTAGTGTGACAAATGGATATACTGACTTACGGGGTAATGAATCTGCATGCAGATAACACTGATTAAGATTTCAGTTGTGATGCGAAAATAATCCTCGACCTTGGGCTGTTGTGTATTATCTATCCATAACAGTGTATGAATCAGGGTGAGTTGCAGCCAAGAGTCAGTCCTCCTAAAGTTTACAAGTTCATTTTCAACATCATTCGGAAAGGGCAATTGAGGATACAGAGACAGCTCAGATTCAGATTCAGAGACTCACATACTGCTCAACAGTATTTATGAATTATATTTCATTGAGTATGCATTTTCTTTTTTCCTCACCACTAAAAATCACATTTACTTCACTGTCACTGTCTTCCACCTCTAACGCAATAACTCTAACCAGAGCAGGTCATTTCCCAAATTATGGCCATCAAAATGGAAGTTATTTAGAGAACTACATGTAATACAGGTTTCTTAACCAGTCAGATGATTTGACCTGGCAATTTTCCAATCTTTGGATTGTACAGTAATACTGTGTTTTGACCTTTCAAAATGTAGTCTGCCCATAACCAAACAGATAATAAGAACTATTAAGAAATATTCTTGTGCGTGACAAATTCAGCTGATTTTTGCCTTGCGAGGATGTTTTTCATTAACCAAGAAGAGTGACAGACCTCAAGAACTGTTGGCTGGGGAGAGAGAGGAATGTTTGTGTCGAAGTGCCAAGTACCCACCCTTACCCTGAGACACATAGTCTAATTCCCTGGCTCCTCGGTGCCAGGCTCTGTCTCGCTGTCTCACACAAATGTGAACACACACACACACACACACACACACACACACACACACACACACACACACACACACACACACACACACACACACACACACACACAAATGTATACACGCTGAATGCTAGGCACAGGCATGCATATACATGTACAGTTGCCGACATACTCACAAGCTGTAAGCTGTAGTTCACACATATACACATTTAAGAATCCGCACATTCTTTACATATCTAAACGAACAGCTAACACTGTCCAGGACACAGCAAACACATCAAACTGTAGCTAATTTATGTTGTTCTCACCTGGACTCCTCAAGCAGCAGGAGAAGCCGGCAACGTGGAGTTTCGGTGGCTGCTATATGACCCAGTGTCCCAAACACACGCTCTGCAGCGATCACATCATTCATGGTCACCTGAGGTAGACACATGAACGAGAGCTCAGATATACAGCAAACAATGCTTGACTGGTCGGCTACTTCATGTGTATCTCTACACCCTAAAAACACAAAAGTATGAGTCATGCTTTGTCATGGGTTACACCATTTTCTCAAAAGTTGTAGCCTCAGCCAAAAAGTAAAACTCTAATCAACTCAAATAATTCTAATTTAGAGACCAAATCCTCAGGTAGATCATGAGCCAATAATTTAAGGCTGGTAACAGTAAAGAAATAGTTACATTTTGATTAAAAGAAATGTTGCTTTCTGGTGGGGAATAAGAAAATAATAGTTGGACAGACTGTACAGATAAAAAAAGAAAGATAAAACATTTGAATTAGTGATCCTTGGAGGTGCTGGACAGAGCCAGGCCAGTGTCTCCCACTTTTTCCAGTCTTTGTGCTAAGCTAAGCTAAGAGCTACTGGACATTAGTTTACCTTTAACGCACAGACTTGAGAGTGGTAGCAATCTTCTCATCTAACTCTTAGTAATTCTTATCAAAGATGTCACAAGATGCTGTCTTTATATGGCTGCATTAAAAACCAAGCTAGTCCCCACCTCCTGTCCATTGATCCTCTGCAGGTTGAAGTGATGGAGGCGGTAGATGACGAAGGAGCGCCACAGAGCCAGACTGACCACTGGATTGCCTTCTGGGTGGATGGTCAGCTGGTCCAGACGCCTCACCTGAGCCAGGGCCGCCAGCTGGGGCAGACGGCTGATGTTGGTTTCCAAGAAGATCAGATGCTGCAGAAAAAGCAACAAGTTGGTTTCAGTGAGAGAGAACTAGATACCTAATGTATATTTGTTCATGCCTGTAACTCACTGAGTTGGTCATGGCAAAGATTAACCATGTTAGGTGTTTTATTCTCTTTTGAGAAATCAATTTAAAATAGTGTTCTTTCAAAAACTGTAAGATGCTTTGGATAAAAAATATCCACCTAATTATACTGTACGTTACATCAGCAAATGTTTTCATTCATAATATTTAAAACCGGGTTTCTGTAGGTTTCATTAGATTAAATTTAAGACTTTTAAGGACATTTTTAAGACCATTATGAGGTCCATACTGACAAAATAGTACAAAGGAAAAAAGTATTGTAGTTGTTTTGTTTCAAATTCAAAGATACATTTTGAATAATAATAATACTTACTTACTAATTAAATTTCTTTCTCTGTATTTCCCCTTCTCTTTGTTTCACTGTGAGAAGCAAGAAGACTACCCTGCTAACATACATACTTATTTCCTAATTAGCCCTGCCGTGTGTGCATCATAGCATTTCATGCCTAGGAGCAGGAACGTCTGTGAGGCAGCAGAGTGGGCTTGAAGTAAAATAATCATATCAGATATTGTAAGCCCTAGGTACAGCTAAATCAACTCTTTTTTATCCGCTTGAAATCAGTGCTCTCTTTGATGTACATTGTTTTACTGTGGTGATCCAGTCCCACAAAAAAGGAAATAGTTCAAAGGACATGACGACAAGGCTGATGACAAGGACCAGGCAGTTTGGTGTTTGGACATTCAGCATTTACTACAACCACATCTAAAGGTAACATGAAAAACATACAATCTCCTTTTTTTTCTTCTTGAGCAATTTATGTCAACATTACTAATGCTCTTTATGGTACGTGGCTTGATCCCTCACCGATAGATTGGGGAACTTGACCCTTATTCGCGGCAGTGTTGGTACAATGGCGTCAAAGTTGATGTAGCGGAAAGTTATTACAGTGACAGCACCAGCAGTCTGAACTCCCCAGCCCCTCTCTAGGGCCTCCAGGGCTCCGAGTCCGAATAAACGCAATGTGTCTCCATCCAGCTCCGCCAGGTGACTGTCAGAGAGAGACAAGCTCTGAACACTGCCGCTCCCTGCCTCCAAAAGCCTGCAAAGTAAACACACACAGACAGTCTTTGTAAATCAGTCTTGATTTGCTGAATGCACAGAATTAGTTGCTTCATGAAACTTGAATCTTTGGGCAAGTGCTTTGAGTACATTTGTTTGAAAAAGGAGACATTATGCTAAAAGGAAAAAGCAACATCGCTACAGAACGTGCGGGGGTCTAGTGACAATGTCCTATTTGTCTTGCCTAATTGCTTTCCATTCTCCTAAACGACAGTTGACGTGCCCTTCCCTGATAAGAGAGTCGTGAGAGTGGAGAATCTGGGCGAGTCTCAAGGAGACATAATCTCTCTGCCTGAGTCCGTGTGCTCAGCCCTCTGGGTCTGCTGACACTCAGGGGACTTTTCAGCATAGCAGGGCATCAGATGGCTACTGGCTGCACGCTACTCAACACTGATCGTTTCGGGTTCAGCCCGCCAACAAACTAATCACCCCTATTCATATTTCACACCCTCCCAATCTCGCCGCAACAGAAAGCCATAGTGGTTAGAGGACTAATCCTTTGATTATAGAACTTAAATCCAATCTTGTTGAGACCGATTTTTAGAACGTGTGTGTTTGAGAAGTGAAGTGAGACGGAGAGTGGGAGTCAGGGACAGAAAAAGAAAATGAGATGAAAAAGGACAGCAGACATACTTTAGACAGAGAGGTACATACATAGGGAAACAAAATGAAGCTGTACTGTAACTGAAGCTTCTTTGGAAAGGCCACCTTTGTTACAGGCACAGTAAGACTGATCCCCCAGAGGTGGTACCGGAGAGAAGGAACTGTTTCTTCTTCTAAACTGAGCACCAAAAATAGGATCAAATTTGAGAATTAGACAAATAATTACACTGCATTATTAAAGGCCATCTTCAAAATGAGAGGTATGCTACGGTAGATTGGAGATTGGACTGTGTAATAGGCTGCAACTAATGATTACTTTCACTATCAATTAATCTACAGAATATGTTCTTGATTAATCTGTTAACTTTAAGGTGTAGTTTTCAAATTTTTTTTTTCTCCCACTAACAGTTCAAAACCCAAAGATGTTGAATTTACCACCACATAGACAAAGAAAAGCAGCGAATCCTCTCAATCGAGAAAAAGAGATTTGTACTTTGTATTCAAGTGACTTACGGTGACGACAGTGAGGATGGTTGATTGTTCATTAACCAGTAATCATAGTGGAATATTCTATCCACTATCCATTCCATATGTGTAAGCTGCTGGAGGTGAAACAACATTGACATCAGGTTCTACCAAGAACCTGATGTCAATGTGGGTGATGCATTGGCCTCGAGTCACGTTAACTGATTAATTCTTGTGTAAAAGACACATGAATGGACAGGTGCCTCAGGAGATGGTAAAGTGCAGTACCAGTTTAGACCATGGCTGTTAGGTCTTTGAGAAACGCTCTGTGCGTGTGGTCTGCTTGTATGTGTCTACGACGTCTAAGTGTACAGTGTGATGTCACTCAAAAGTGTTCTCTGAGGCCATAGTCTGCCTTGGAGTTCAGTCAGTTTTAATTAGTTCAGTTAGTTGTAAATACCCTTTGGGAGAGACACAAATTACACTTGCCAGTAAACACAACAACCGGATTAATCATGTAATAGAGCCTGAACCTCTCCCAGTAAACCACTGACTGACAGGGAATATCCCACTCAATCATCATATTTAATTCCAGACACATTACTCTTAGATGATACATAAGGTGATCCTCCATGCAGCCTGTACGAAAGCCATTCTTACTCAAATGTCAAGGAATGGTCACTGGAGAATGTGGGGGGATGCCATGGATAAGAGAACGAAGAGAAGTGGATATGGTGTGGCAAAGTCATCCTTGCTGTCATTTTTTCCCAGTGGCCAACCGCCAACTCCAACTAAAAAATCCCCTGAAAGAAAAGAAAGCCCCCCCCCCAAGACCATCTATCCATCTATCTATCTTCTATCTATCTATCCATCTATGAAGCAAGAAATCTCTGTCTGTCTGTGTGTGTGTCTATGTGTGTGTGGCTCAAATATCTCTGCAGATCAGGATCAGACTGACCTGAGAGTTTCAACATGGCTGCTGTGTGGTTTAAGGGTGTGCAACGTCGGCTCTGTTTGGACTATAAAGATACCGTTAAGAAATTATTATTTTATAAATTATTTCCGAATTCCGCTAGCATTGTCAACAACAGCCACCGTAGCCACGTGCGCACCAGAGCCAATCACTGCAGAGCCAAAACATCCTAGAAAGTGAAAGTAAACTGATGTCTCGGTCCGGAGGGCTGACGGTGATTTTTGATTTTTGATCACAAACACTTTTTGGCCGGTGACAGACGCTGTTTTTCGGGCATGTAGTTCACTTTCTTCTTTCAGAATTGATATGCGCTGACCATGAGGTGTGGTACTTTCACATTAGTGGAATGGGGTTCATCTCCCTACAGTGTCCTTGCGAAAAGACAAATTATATGAAAACACAATAGTTATCAATCTACACATTTCACAACAAACCTAAATGTCCCTGACGTCCCACCTTCAAACACAACCTCATTTGGCCATCCATGAAAAAGCTACTTAACCTCCCATTTTCTACAGCAATACATACTTCCTACGGGCACTGCACTAGAAATTATAAAACACACGTCTGGAAAACAGGACACCTTAAACAGCACACAAGGTCAATTATTACTCTAGTTCTTCTACTAACTGCTGGAATTGATGTGGGCATTGAAAGACTTGAACAGGCCTCAAAATAGTAGATTCTTCCAATGAGGGCAGCTACAAAAGCAAGTTTAAGTACATGTTAAACAATGAGTGTACTCGTCCAGATAATGAAATGTGCATTCCAACGGAAATGGCACTGACCAAGAGCAGGTGCAATAGTCACAGTATTAATACCAAACATGGTAGTGAAGACATTTTAAAGTCCAAGTGTGTCCTGGTGCAAGCACACTCATGAACTGAAACATGGGACTTGGCCAGCAATGGACGAGGAGGCGCCAGACACTGAAAGGCAGTTTAATTGTCAGGATATGCCACGCCTCCCATATGCAGGATTGCCAAAAGCAGTAAATCAGGAGGAGTTGGAGAGTGGGGCATGAGATGGAGCGTAACATGTAGATAAGTCAGGTAAAGAATGAGAGTAACTTCTGTGTGCCTGGAAGGGTGCCATCAACACACTCTGCACTGTGTCACATATTGTTCCCCCATAATCACAGTTGAAAGGCTGCCAGGTGGCTCTGAATCCCCTTCTGACATGAACCCAGCGACTAATGTTTGAGAGAAGAAGTGAACAAGGCGAGGAAGACCGAATGAAGAATCTGTCACAATTACATGGATCCTGCTCTGGCCAATTGGACTCTGAATCTAATTCAATTAGGGCTATCTCACTTAATCCTACAAGATTTTTTAAAAGGACATCTGTCATCTCTCAACAGCTTAATCCCTCCCCAAAGACATGGCTTGTAGCATACACATGTCTCCAATCGCCTAAATACTAGGTGGTAGTGATGCATATGAAACATTACTCTCTGAGCTGTCATTTCAAAAGAGCATTTCATCATTTCACCCTGTTAAAAAGTGAAAACAAATGGTTCAAGTGGCACTTACTGGTGCAGTGCAGATGTTGGGCTTATTGGGTGCTGAGTGCAGCCGACTGTTACTGTAAAGTGTGTTTCTACAGTATGTGGTGGTTTTGGATTTCAGGTTTCATCGAGGAGCCTGCTTAACTTCTCTCCCACCGTTGTGAAGATAACTCATTGATTTATGTGCCTGAAAAACCACCTGTTCAGGATCTCAGCACAGCTCTTTATTAAATGAATGTATGAACAGTACAAAGACCTTTCCATCTCCCCACATGGTGACCAACCCCGCTATTGGATTTCTGAGTAATAACTCTTCCACTGCCACGCACCCAAACTCCCATCTCTCAGTGGAGATGAGGTCAAATAAATCTTAAATTGTTTGCACAGGAATAAACTTGGGTCTGCATCACTTTGGCAGTGACACAGGCTATTGTCCCATAACTTATTGCAGGAACACATTGACACAATCATGCTAAACGTGCTTTCAACATTCACTTCAACCTCATTCTAATTTGTCACCAAACTGGGGCTGCTAATGCTAACCAGAGATGACATAATGTTCATCTTTTATCCCGATTTCTCATCACATTTAACTATAAGGCAGTGTGGTGTTAATTTTCTTAGATTTACTTTTTCTCCATACAGATTTTTCACAACTTGAGACTAATCACATCCATTGTTCTGACTTTAAAAACTTAATCAAAGTTGTGTTTTACTCTTAAATTGCCTCAAATTGCGTAATAATATATGTGTGTGTATATATATATATATATATATATATATATATATATATATATATATATATATACACACTATGGAGTAATAGTTCTCAGCAGACTTTGAGTTAAATTTTGTTAGTTGGGAAGGAACACTCATATACACACACACGCACCAAGTGATTGCCCTGCTCCCCAGGCTGCCACTGAGCAGCTCCAGATGTGTGGATGTGCCAGGTCCAGCCCTGAATGGGAAACCAAGAATCTGTTGAGATTCTGGAGTAACAGGATTACTGATGACATGTAACAAACCATACACCGTCTCTTCAGGGTGCAAAACCTCTTCCTGTTGTTAGTATTTCCTGGGAAATCACACCCCCAAGGACCTGATGTGTGATGTCATGCACTAGTGAGGCAAGAGTGGTTCACAGGCCCCAAAAAACAAAGACAAGCTCAGATTGGGGAGGATGGTGTAATTTTCTTCTGAATCTAGTACTTTAACAGCTTTCTGAGGTCACTGGGGTATACTGTGTAGGCATTATAACACTTCAGTATACCCACACAGTGTTGAAGAAAACAATCTTTAAATTTCCCACCTATTGTAGATATACCCAGGCATTTTGAGGATTTTACCCTTTGGCCATTTAGTCACAGATCTTGTTTTTCTTTTAAGTTACTGGTGGTGCCAGGCTTTGTAAAGGGCTGTGTTATTTTGTCATTCAATACGAGCCAAAGTAACACAACTCCCAACCCATAAGAGCGTGGTAGATTGAATCGTGTGAGTCCTGTTCGTCACCATAACCTGTTAAGCCACATGACTGAAGTTATAATAGACCCTGTAAAGGAAAGCCATCGCCATTGAGGGATTGCGCTTCGGGGCCATTTTCATATCCTGGTGCAGGAAGGAAAAGCCATCTTTGAAACATGTAATAATAGTCCTTGACACAGCCCCCACTTTCATCTCAGCCTCCCCCTCATAACTCATCCAGACCTGGATCACAATCTGTGTGCATATCAGAGCTCTATGCTCACATTAGACAGTGGAAGAAGAAAACTGTCTTCAGACATCTTAGACATGCATGGACTGATTTTCCCAGAGAGTTCACAGAGCCCAGGAGCAGCCAAGACCCACGCCCCCTGGAGTAAGTAAAGGGGTCACTTTGTTGCTCAAGAATATTTCAAGATGGGTTTGATGTACCAGCTGTTGCAGGGATCAGATCTGTAACCAGGATGATCTCTCTACGTGTACATGCTCTATTTAGATTATTCTGTGCTATGTAATGTTTTTGCAGATTTCAGTATTTAGGTTGATGGATAGTGAACACAACTCTGTGTGACCTTCTCAGTGTGACCTTCAAAGTTAGCTTTCTTCATTGGTCAGTAAGTATCTTGAGTGTCTGTCTGTCTACCCTTTTTCAATGTTACCGTACTTCATGAAACATAGCCTGAAGCAAAATTCCATTCGACCGATACAATAGTTGTGTCACAATGCCAGGTATCTCAAAACCTTGGCAATAAAACCAGAACTATGTGCATGGCTAGATACGTGTGAGTGAACTGATCCTTTATTCAATTTTACAATAGATCTGTCTCTAAACCATCATGGAGTACCAAACTCATAAAATATGCAATCAGTGTCTCATAAAGTTACTGGTCAATACAGACAACTTTACTAATGTATTGATCTAAGACTACTTTTTTGCATTTAACAGCCAGGGGCGGGTGCTTATTTCGTATTTTATGTAGACATATACGGCACGGGGTACACACACATGTATTTTTGGCTTACTTGGGATCTCGAGGGCTGTTTGGACGGCTGTTGGTGCGGAGTCGGCTCTCCGTTCCCCCTGATGGTCGCTCTGGTCCTGAACCTGGGCTTACCCGCCTGATTAAAAAAAAAAAAAACTCAGCATCAAATTAAACTATCATTTTCAGAGCGCTCTCAGATGAACGAGAATCAAGGCTGTAAAGCCAGTTTCAGATTAGAGGGGTTTTAAAATCAGCTAAATAACAAACATAGGAAGAACTTTTACAGACTCTCTGCTCTCTAATTAGAAACAGACACTACAAGATTAGAAATAACTGCATCATATAAGATACTAAACTATTATGTTTACCATGCCAGAAAATATGCATCCATTTTTCTCACCCTAACACGTGCTTCACTCTCCTCACATCTTCCCTTTATTATTAGGTACACATCAATAGACTTTCCTCCATCTCAGCTGCCAATCAAACTAAATGGCTACAAATCTTGATGTCTCTTTTTATCTTCTGAGAGATAACATAATATTTTTCATCTTGTTGATATGTCTCTCACTGGCTATTGTGTGTCCATTCAGATAGCATGACATAATGACATAATTGTCAAACATTGCAAACATGAAACTGGTTTTAAATTATCAGGGTGACAATGAGTATGCCAGCAGCTCTGAACGGTTACGATTTTATGTTAAAATTGCTCCTCTTCATCAGATATTCCATGACCAGATTTCCCCTCCAATGTTCAGGAGTACTGAAGATCAAATCAAACACAATCACACACAACACTGGTAACTTAACAGCCAGTGACTCCCTTAGTTCTAGAAATGTGATGTGACTTAATGTTCTGGTGTTTACCTGGGTTCATCTGGAGAAGGCTCCTGTGCCAGACCATTGGTCTGGGCAGGGCTGTGGGCAGGGCTGTTCTCCGGACTGACTTCTTCTTTAGCACCATTTGTTGGTGGCAGCTCCAGGCAGGCCCTGACACCCTCCCACTGCTGCGCTGCATTACGGATGGCCAGACGCCGCTTCTCCTTGATAAACACAACATACACCCGCACACGCACACGCACACACACACACAGGACAGAGAAGTTCAAGTGACAATTCTCTTTAGCAGAGCACAGAGTGCATATACTAAGATAATGGAACCTCTGTATATCTTGACAGAATCACAGGCCAACTTATACCTACTGCCTTCCTTGTCTCTGAGGTACAGCTTTGTTTTTGAAGAGAGTAAGAAAACTGCTTACTGGCCTTACTGGCAGATATCCCACTTTATTAAAGTTAGATCTGAAACTGTATATGCATGTGTTGGTCCAATTTATTTGCGTCTGTTACCACAGCATTTTTATTTAACTGCAGTTGGCTCTTACAGCAGTAAAAATGACATCCATTCCCTGCAAGAGAGAAGATCTCTGCTCTTTCAATTGTTCTTTCCTGGCCAAGCTGTAGTTTCAATATGCTCAGTCATGGAATGTGCCACTCCCCGACGCAGGGGTGAGTCAATATCAATTCAGAGTGAATCCTTCGCCCTTACGAACTCTTGGCTGTGGCATTCAATATAACATTTTCTCAACACAAGGGATTAGCAGGAGTTAGGTTACTGAGAGACAACATGTTCCACACAGAGACCATCTCTCAGCAAGAGTAACCACTGCAGTGCAGGCGCAGCAGGGGCACATCAATATATACTTTCACACACACATACACAAATACATTTACTGCAAAACAGATGCCTGTGTAAGACAGAACATCTTAGACCATTTAAAAAATAAAGTATAATTTACAGAGTCATTTACAGATACAGTACCACTGTGGACAGTGTATCCCTCCCCATACATTAACAATGTTCCCATAGGGCACTTGAGTTGTGTATTACTGAGGTACTGATGTGGATACGTTTGAAAAGTTGAAAGTTCATGTCAGCATGCAAAAAGTATATTTATGGCCCACTAAAACACAGCCTCAACAATCACAAGACACATATGTTAGAAGACACATAAGTAAAGGGAGCAGAGTTGGGGAGCAACAAATCCTGAGAATGACCTTAATATTTTAGAGCTATTCCATCAAATTTTGAAAATTTTGATGGGCACGTTGATCAAAATGAAAAAAAAGGGAAAAAAAGCCAAAACTACCATTAGGAGGCTAAAGAGGTCAGTTATTATCCAAATACTCACTTAACCCTTGCTTTTAACCTGGATACTAATATAATAATAATGGCCTGATGCTGGCTATGCATTGGATTCAAAATAAACTATATACAATATAACATATATATACAGGTGATGCATAAAACACTATTAATCAGATTTCAGATCAGTAATACAGTATATGGTTTTAAAATGTTACAGTAGCTCCACTCAGTACTTTGAAACTTTGCAACAAATGATCTTCTTCCTACCAAGAATAAACTAACCATACAACACGCAGTGTATGAAAAAGGTTATTAATGATATATAGGCTGTCATGTGTATTTGCTATACAATTCAACTTTAAATCCAGGCAGACAAAGACAACGGGAGCTCATCCAGATCAGAGTGGTACCTTATGAATGGTCTGCTTGTGACTCTCCCTCTTCTTCTCCTCCTCTTTCCGAGCCTGTACACCAGCCATGCGCCGATCCTCGTCCTGAAAAAGATAGCTTGTGCAATCAGAGTGTCGCTCCATTCATGAGTTGTGAATTATTCAAGAGAGAGGGGAACCACAAAAGACACCGCCCGGAAGACTATTCTCTGCACCAGAACTGGACCACTATGGAGGATGGGAGAGATTCTCACAGCAGCCGGCTGCATCACAGGATTATCTGTCTGATTTTCAGTCTCGGATCAACTGAGCCCAGCTGTTGGGGAAAGCCAAAACTCCCAGAATGCAATGCTGCCAACACAATCTGAGTGTGCCAGTTAAGAGCTGGGGGATATTCAGTTGTCTGTGACGAGCTAGCAGAGACGATGCTTCAGTCTGATCAATACAGGCAAAACGCTAACCTCACAGGAGTCAAGGCTCTGATGTCAGCAGGTGGAGACAGATTAATATGCCAGGCCTGTATGTCACTAATTTAACCTCATTGTGAGGAAAACAGCTTCTTGTGGAAAAAATGACCAAAGTGCATATGCTACTCAGTATAATTGATCAATATCTTATTGATTGCAAAGGGTGCTATTTCTCAGCAATAACAGTGTCTTTGTTTGGACAGCTTCCACAAAGTCTATTACGCTGATTATTTGGCTTCAGTAAACTACAGTATTTCCAGCTTAATAATCAAATTAAACCATTTTAAACATTAAAAGGAGTTATTTCCTGAAAACTAAACATATTCCCACATACATAATAGCTGTCTTTGCTCTATTCGCATTATTAAATGTATTTCCAGGTATTATATGTTTTATTAGTCAATCAAATATAATGACTATAAGCCCAGTGATAATATATTTTGTCAGAGACAGCTCCAGTCGACTGTATGTCTCTTGTTTGAACTTCCTTTATTTAGCTTTTTAAAATAACCCAACCCGTTCTGGAATATATCTTCCCCACTTGAAACAGAGAAGCAGCATTTGTTAAATTAGCCCAAAGCAGGACAGTAGTACTGTATTTCCTCATTTGCACTATTAACTCTCATTTCATTCATAAATAATGACCAATCTGCCAGCAGTCAGGCAAAAATTTTTTATCTCAGATAATCTGATCTCACTTCTACTGACAGGATAGTGCTGCTAGCACTGGGGGCAAGTATTTCCAAATCAGTTGGAGGGGAAAATCTAGATCTTCAGTGGCTAATACAAAGTTTGCCCCCAGCAATATCATGACATCGTTTTAAAATATGGGAACTCCAGTCCTAGGCTGACTTTGTTGTCAAATCAAAACTTTGCATCTCCCAAAAGTAAACCGTCTGGAAATAAAACGTCATGCCTGTTTTTAGGATTGACAGCTACAGACTGTAGTTTGTTGGAGAGGTTTAATGGGCTCTAAACTTGCTAAACCTGTTAAGGACCATATATACCTAAAATTCAAGTAAAAACATGAAAATTGCTGAAATTGGAGTTACAAGGTTTTTTTGTTTTTTTTAAGTATCCACAGTATGTTCTGAGGGCAAGGTGTGTGGTACTACAGATTCCTTTAAAGTACAAGCTCAGACCTGGGTGCTCCCTGCTTGACAGCCTCTAAGAACATGCTGATACTTCACTGTAGCACTTTGTTGGCATGCTATATAAATACAGTGACTTCATATCTATGCTTGAGAATAATCATTGTTTTGTTGGACTGTATTCTAAATGCTTAGTTTATAGTTTAGTCACTGATGCAACCGAGAACATGATGAATGCTGCACCAATGTCAAAGAACAAAGACTAAGAGTATAGCGTTGTCAATATGTACAGGAGCTTGGAGATGCCCCACTGACAGTGAATGGGAGACTGCCTATGTGGCTTCATCCTAAGTTTGTACTGAACTGTGGAATCATCAAGTTTATGTCAAGTCAGAGTCACGCTCAAGAATCAACATGTACAGTGCTGTCAGGAACATATGGTGACATAATGGTGTGGCAGCATGTCAACGTACGTAACACTAACTTTTGTAAAAGTACAACACAGTCATGAGCTGTGAGGGTTTTAAAGCTTTAGGTTTGCCACAACTCTACACAAGTTGGCCTCTTCGCTGTTTAACATGTTAAATAATGGCAATATAGCATGAAAAAAAAATAATTCTCCCCTTTGATCATGTGATTCACTGTCTTAAATGTGTAGAATTAAAGAAAACATGTCAGACAACTACAGACAACAACAGCTACAGCTATAATTAGCAGAATTTGGCCAGGGGTCAGTTTTTCCTCTTGTACACACAGACAAAGGTAAGCAGTTCAGCCTTACTGTGATGCGCTTCATGTCCAGCTGTCTCAGATGAAGCACACAGCGCAGGACGGCCTGCTTGTACCATGTCTCCAGGGCTACAGGATTCCCATCCAGGGTGAGCTCAGAAAGGGAGCGTGACTCTCCAAGGCAGGCTAGCTGATCAAAACTATACACAAAGAAAAAAATCAGTTTAAATGAGATCAAGAGTTAAAATGCACAGATGTTTTCAATACAAAAAACAAGGTACACTGAATGTTTTTCAATGATACAGAGGCATGATGACCTAACACAGTATTGGGAAGCCTGAGTCATCCACCGGATAAGTCAAACAAGAAAACTGCCCCCCATCTATGTTTTGATTCTTGAACCTTTAATTTAGGCCTGTATTGACAGAATGGAGCCAAGCTAAAACAAGACACTGGTAATTTAGCAGGCACACTGGCAGCCTGACATTACTCAGGGGGCAATGAAGAGAGAAAAATCCACTACACTGTTGCACTTGTCACCCTGTGGCAAAAGGAGGCATGAAAAAGCACAGTCATGCTATGTAAGGCAGTGGAGATTCTATCATTGCTAATTTGTGATGATAACCTTGATGAATCATATGCCTGGAACCACTTATGGACCTACTACACTGCACTGCGCTTGATACTAGCCAGAGGTTTCTTTGGATGCAAAATAGGGTCAGATAATTAACCTCTGATGAACTATTGAAGCAAGAACAGCTGCAGCTCTACCAGATGCAAAGCAAAATTTCCCATTTCAAATTTAATTTGGGGTAGTCAGGAAACAGGATGAATGAGAAGTATTATTTTCTCTCTTATCTCAGAAAGAGAGTAGGCACAGCCATAGGCTTCTCTTTTGCACTGGAACATAGACTGATGATAGCCCAAGACCCACAAACAGTAACCTGGGGCATTTTTATGTTATTATTATGTATCATTTCACATAATTACTTATAATAGAGACAATTCTATTCTAGCAATTATGAAGAGGCAATTTTTCACAGTGATTATGAGTGATTACTTGAGAGACATCAATGGTGCTTGACTGCATGTCATGCATTTTGCATAATTATTGCAGTCATAATCACAGTGACCAATGGCCTCTTGGGTATTGTTACTATGATAAAGCTGCTCAATAATAGTTGCAGTAATGAAACGTCTACATGCACCTATCACTAGGTGATATCAAAAGGTCCAATAAGAAGGGAATATCAAAAATATGTGTGTGCTGTACGTGCAGAGTGAGGTGTGGCTGCACTACAATCCCTGCATATTGTTCTTTACTGACTTGTCATTATTAGTTTTGCCCGGCTCCGGTTTCATAAGGTGTCTAACTTAATTCAGGCAGGTTAAGTCATAAATGCAATATAATGATGAGTGAAATAATGACTGCAAAGATCACTGAGGGATTTTTTTTTGCTCTAACATCCTCTACTGTGCAAACTCACTGCACCACGTAGACGAGTGTGTTCTGTCCCTCTACCTAGCAACAGAGCACTGCTCTCCTATCAGCATTGAACAGTTTCAAAAGGGATACACTCACTGACAAGGTGAGCATCCATTCAAAAGATTAGTTTTAATTGAAACGCCTTTACCGAAGGGCCATAATAGTCATAAGACTACGAAGAAACAAAACATTATGAGTGTACATATTATGGAAATTAGCTGAATAACCACACTTAGGCAGCATATAATCGGTTTGTGATCTTAAACTCCTCATTACACTACAGACTGACACTGTACTCTATTTCTTTGTCATGATTCTCTCAACAGTGTGTCAGATAGGGTATCACACAGACACCAGAACAGCCGAGCTGGCTTGAGATGTCAGGTCAGATCTCTCACAGCACAAGGTGACTGTGGTGAAGGAGGCTAATGAACACCGTCTGACCCCGAATCCCACACACAGGCCCCTCCTCTATGGAAACACAATTTTAAAGCAGCCTTATTTCAGTGAGAAGGCTGTGCCGCTTTAACAAGTTAACTCTATGACATCTTGATTGCTAGGCTCGGAGAGGCAGAAACAAAGAAGAAAAATAAACAGACTACAGATATAGGAAAAAGTGTGTAAAGTAGGTTGACATTTGCACTAAGCAACAAAACACACCTGTCATTCATTCTATCTAGCATTGCTACTCCCAACCTTCAATCTGTCATTCATTTTCTGAGGAGGTGAGCTACCTTCTCTCAGCCTGCTTCACTGTTGTCTGAATAACTTTAAAGTATTGGCACACCCATTTCTTAGGTAACAGCATGCTTATTACTAACAATAAACAACACATCCAGGTTTTCTAGGTTACAGAAAATGCCCACCACAGCAAACCTCTGTGTTTTGCTGTGTGTGTTTGTGTGTATTCTGCCTGCAGCTTGTTGGCCAGGCCCTGCCAAGAGCCAAGGGAGTGGACATGGAACTGTCCGGCCACCATCCCTGTCCCTGCCCTGTGGGGAGGAGGGAGTTAAGCGGTACAAGCTCTTACCTGGTGATGTTGTTGCAGCTGAGAAAGAGGCGCTGCAAGCAGGGCAGGCGGTCCACCTCAGTCTAGAAAGAGAAAGAGAAAGAGAAAGAGGGACAGGGAAAAGAGAGAGATGGAGGGATGTGAGGAGGAGAAAGTGCTCGGGAAGAGGGCACTGCATCGTCACTGTCGTCAGAGCTCTGTATCCCTCTCCATTCCCTCAGTCACCTTGCAGCTCTCAGCTCCAGTATACAGCATCCCTATCCACCCTGCGCATGCACACACACACACACACACACACACACACACACACACACACACCCCCAATACAGCACGCTGCCTTTTCTGCACATGGAGAGGAGGGGCAGGAGAAAGAGAGAGAGAACATGAGGAGGAAGGGGGGAGGGGAGAGAGAGCGGAGTGTGTGCTGCGCTAATGCAGAGATCCCCTCCTGCAGAAAGCTAACTCGAAATGCTCACTGGAACAGATACACATCCAGCTGCACACACTCTGAGCAGCTAGCTACTGTACCTCATCATACAAGAACAATAGCTAGGGTTGAATTTAACTGAAACGGAACAGACTAGGGGTTGCTTTTTCATCAGGCATCAAAATCAATGCAGAATTTAGATAAGGGGGGTGGGGTGAGGAGCAGCAGCTGGCCAGCTGGCAAGCTGAAGAGGGTACACAGGGACGCAGGAAATGTCACCACTGCAACGACTTAAGCTAATCAGATGGCAGTGTGGGAGGAAATCACGTTCAGTAGTGTCAAGGTTTGTGTGTGTGGATGGCCAGTGTTGCACATGCTGGAAGCAAAGAGGACACTCACAGCAGCAGTCTGAATGAGCTGCGTCAGCGTCCGCCCATAATGCAGCCACCGCCTCGCAGCCTCCTCCAGAACTGTTGCCAGTCTCCATTCAAATGAAAGATCAGCCCAGCATTGAGTTTATGCTAGCTCCGCTGCAGTGAATAGCACAACACTGCAGCACAGTCTCATCAATGCCTGTCCACACTAACATATAAATATAGTACAGTTACTCATCCTTGTTTCAGTACAGCCTGCACCATGAGAAACAATGTTAGAGAGAGCCTTTGTCTGTTTTCTAAGTGTTTTATGTGGCTATAGTGTGTATGGACTTAGAGGGTTACTTTGGTAATTGATTGTTTTCCCAGCATTCAATTTCCTTTAAGCTTTAAGTACCTGCCCAGCACAAAATGGTGGTGAGACAAGGTATGTGAGGGACAGAATTAAGAAAGATTAACATCTAGCAAGCCAAAGATATTTTTCTTCACATCAAAGTTAAAGGTTATAGACAAGTAAATATTGGTCTTAACATTTGTCAGGTAGCTTGAAACTAAAATAAGATAACCATGTTTGTCTGTTTTTGTGGATTGCAAACTTGATAATCCAGGCTCATTGCTCCCTGGTGGTAAAACTAAATCACTTTGACACTTATGGTGTATGAAGAGACAAGTTATGATTCTTATGAACAGAATACTGAACACATAGAATAAACATAATGGTTGCATTAAGACTAAGACCGTGTGGGCACTCTTGTCGTATTGGCTGTGTAATGCTTTACTGTGTACCTCAGCAATACAGGGGCATGTTCTCTTTCCTTCTTTAAAAAAATTGCAAGTCATGCTATCCAGTGCTAGCTTAACCGGACCCTCCACAATGCTGCCAGAGTCTCTGTCTGTGCCAGTCTCTGTATGGATGCTGGTGAAGCCACTGCACGCTGTCTGAGACTAAATATAGCAGCCACGTCTCAGACAGAATGATGTCATCACTGAGCTGATGTGCTGCATAACAATCGCCCACCAATGTGGTCTCTTTTTGATCAGAACCAATCGGCTGAGAGGAACTGATGTGAGGTTGGGTACAGCTGTGCTGCTGTGTTTGTGTGCGCTGCTATTGCCTGCGGGTGTGTATTTATGTGTCTCTGTGCCCGTGCCTTCACCCTCTTCCACTGACAGTTTGCGTGTCTTCATTTTTCACACTCATACTGAGCTCCTGCAGACGCATTACTCCACAAACACAGAGCCACCTTTCAACACCGCTGTCTCTGTCGCATGCAAAAAACACACCAGAAAAGAGCATGAAACTGCTCAAACAAACACAGGTACATGTGGATGTGGAGGGGTTTTCAAAGGGTTGTAAGCTGTTGGGTTTTGTGGATGCTCTTTGAATAGCACTGACTTGAGGTTTTGAGGTGTGAGCTTAGCTGACACACATCTGGCCTCAGGTATTGTGCGCTACAAAAGCAGATGCTGTGCATTATGCACATATACAGGTTGAGACTACAGATCTGGTGTTTTTGCACTGCACTTTGCAGACATGACTTAATAATTTAATAATTTATTTATACTTAATAGTTAAAGTTAGCTTCTATGCTTCTTCTCTTAAACTTCACATTCTGAGCAGTTGGGCATTACAAAAAAAAATCCACATTATTGCGCTTATATTGACACTGTCTTTGATCATTTAAGTTTTAATTTGAATATTTTTCACAGTGCTTTGAGGCAGCATGTTGATTTATTAGATACCCTCAGTTTCAAATTTCAAAAATATGCTATGTCCGGAGGAGAAATTAGGAAACACACACAGACTAGAGCTGACTAACCTACAGCAGAGCTACGAAACAGCATTTTCAACTGTAGTGATGCTTGACTTGTTACTGGCCCCACAAGAAGACAAACCCATTAGAAAAACTCCTGCTAATCCATAAAGCCAGTCGCCTTTTTACTATGTCTGGTTTATCAATGCTGCTCATGCTGGCTACCCAGCTCTTCCAAACAAATCATTGTTCTTGCTGCCAAAAATGTAAAATGCATCACTTACTGACTATTGAGGATTTCTCAATAGAAAAGACCCACCTGAGAGCAAGTATAAACATCAAAAGGTTTATGAAATGATTATATCTTGAATCACCACAGTGTTAGCCGTTATTGGGCTGTAAGCATTACAGTGTCATTTAATGCTATATAGCTATATAGTAATGCTTATATATATATATATATATATATATATATATATATATATATATATATATTAAACTTAAATAAATATTAAACTTACTTATTGTAAGTCAATCACAGCATTCTTTTCATCTGCCTTGAATGAAAGGGAAACCTGGACACCTGGAGGATGGTTATTTACCTTGAGCCTGATAGACGCACTTGGCAGCAAACACCACTAATGACAGAGACTGGAGAATCTGCTGAGGGGTAGTATTTTTCCTTTGCTGTTTGTCAAATAAAACACTGCATCTGATGATTAGGACTGGAAGTGGTTCGTGATCAGAACATGCAGGGTGAGGACAGGGTGAGTGATGGGAAGAGGTTTCATACAACACAATGTTGGATTCTGTTTGTACTTTCTACCCCAAAAAGCAGGAAAGGGCTTAGGGGATTTGCATACAAATGAAGGGGCCTGTTTTGGCATGCACTGTTCTGTTTATCAGATTAAAACTATAGAAACCAAGGGGAGTGGATTTCCATGTTTAGAATATCCAGTTTCTCTTTCACTGTGCCAGAAAGTTGGTGGGAGGTTGTGGGTAATGAGCAACGTCTCCCTAGGTAACACCACCAAGATACATTTCACCACAGACTTTCTTACAAAGATTCTATTGATGTAATTTCTTTGTTTGTTATTTTGTGACAGTAAAAACAGCTACATGTGATCCCATAACAAAGGAAACCGTAAAAAGACGTGGTCCAAAGGAATGACACAAAGATGAAAGATGAAGGACGCTACTGGCACTCTTATCTTGTGAGGAACATCTTCCTAAGGAACGTGTGTGTGTGTGTGTGTGCGCTTAATTGTTCATCACAATGCAGGAGGAAGAAAATGTATCATTGACAACTGCAGGAAACTGCTGAGCACTATCCCTAGCTCTAACAAACCACAAGGCAGCTGCAAGGCACACTGATTCAACACATTTGTATGATGCATTAATATTAAAATATTTTTTTAATAACATTTCCAACTCCTGCTTGCATAAAAGAAAATAGAAGCCCCACAAAGAGAATGGGGCAGAAAATTCTGCCTTGGAGAGAAAACGAGATTCTGTTCCCTGCGAACAATTGGTGTGAATAGTGAGCATCGAGTGAATAAAATGCTTTAAGCTGTCACTAATTGGGAAAGAGGCCCCTCACCACAACAGAGATGCAGTTGTGTCGGAGGTTGAGTTCAGTCAAACAGTCCAGGCCTTGCAGTTTTTCCACTCTGGAGATGCTGTTTCCTGCCAGGTTCAAGACTCGCAGCTCGCCCAGGTGAGACATGTTTTCTATCCGGCCGATCTGTACGAAAGCACAGTGAGACAAAGATTAAATGACTTAAAATGGCAATCTACATAATCATATTGTACATATAGAAACACAGAGGGAGGCAGGGTTAGCATAGCATAACACAAGTGGAACTGTACACATTCAGTGCACATTTAAATCATGTATGTAAGATCATCAGATGGTTCAGATCTATTTAGAAATATTTAGTCTGAACACAGCCAAAGGTTTTAAGGAGAAAGAGACAAAAAGCAGCATGCTCCATTTTCTTTGCAATGCCTGAGGCAACACTTTATGCTAAATGACACTAAAACAGAAATGACACCCCCACTCCTCTCTGTACCTCACAGTGAGTCATTTCACAGCAACAATCTGCATCACTTGTGAACATCTTCAATGACAGTCAGTCGCATCAAGCAGTGACTCCTGTTTGACCTCCCAGACAGGAACAACAAACAAAAAGTTGGGGGTAAAATGATAAACAGTTCCAACCCCTTGTCTTCTGCGAGGAATACTTATGGGGCCCTGTCACTTAAATAAACTTCTGAAGAGTTCCTGGTGGCTTTTACCCTGAGGAAGATGTGTTTGCCCCCTATAGTGCACACTGTACATGTGAGGATAAGGTTTAAAGGGCAGCAGGGGTTCAAAGATTCTGTTAAATACTCAAGGATTACTGCAAATGTTAAATAGGTCATCTGAAACAGAATTAAATATTAAAAAGAAGTTGAAAAATTAGAAACACAGATAAAGATAAGAAGCAAGATGGGGTTTGAGTTTATGTTTCACAACTTTTTTGGAAAGCAGTGGCACTCACAGATGGTCTGAGAAAGTTCATACAAGTAAAAACTAATAAAGAAGATTTTAAAATCAATACGCAAACCTACGGGGAGCCACTGTAGCGTGAGGAGTAATACAGTATTGCTTTCCTTCTGGTCATAGTCAGCACTCTAGCTGCAGAGGTTTAGATTAACTGCAGTTGATGTATTTCTTTTTTTATAGAGTTCAGACAGGAACTTATTACAATAGACAGAAAAGTGCATAGTAGTCTCTGAATATTGGCCACAGAGGCAAATTTACACCTTCTGACAATGTACGTTAAATGAACAAATGTTGAAAAAAAAAAAACAGTGAGGGTAGACTGCTAGGGCTCTGATTTTTCTACTGACAGTGCGTGCATATACAGAGGGCAGCATTGTTAAGCAAAAATGCCAGTAAACTGAGTGCATCAAGTCCACCCCAAACACCTGATGATGGATGGACAGCATGAGATCATTAGTCTGCATTCAGAACAGTTGTACTGTGGTGTCACAGTTGACGTGAATGCTTTCGGTCAACACACAATCAGCACACACCAACAGGACAATGGTACCTAAGAGAGGCAGGCTTGTGACAGGTTTCTGGTTCAAATACCAGGAAGGCAAATGCATGAACGTAAAGCAGAAAAACAGCCATGAATACTCCCTGAATAAATTAAGGTGAGAAAAAAAAACACTCTCACAAGGTTAACATTATCTCAGGCCCAGACTTGGGCATCCCTGACCTAAGCAAAGGCAGGCGTCGGCATATCAGACCTCTGTCAACACACAGTCACAGTATCTCTACATACACTGAAGCAGATTTGAGATTAATTTGTAAATATTTGAGCATCTTGTGTTACACAACATGAATTTGGTACTTTCCAGAGGTGTAGGTCAGGCATCCATAATGTTAAGATGATTCAAACACAGTACCTGTTTCATCTTACTACACTCGAGGTAAGTAGGACATGGATGTGATATTGCTGTGTCTATAATGTTTGTTAAACCTTAGTAAAAAACTAAATAAAAATGTAAAAAAAGATTGCTTTGTAGACAGGACAGAGGACTGTTCTTGTCTGGGGAGTTGAGTGGAATGGTTGAGAGGGACATGCCAAGAAGTGGAGATAGTAACACCAGCTCCTGGCATGTTCCTTGTAAACAATACAGTCATCACATCTTAAACATTTCATATAATGGCCTTGTGTTGTCAAAGAAGAGGACATAAACAAAGATAACCTTGTGTTACAGGTGTCACTTTTGACAGCAAAGCCTAGAACATCCCTGTGAGGAGTCTCTGTTCCAGCTTCAGCCTAACCCAGAGTACTACGCTTACCACACTGGACAGATTTAGTCAAACTTAATCAAAAGCATCATCTTGATTTGTAGAAGGGGTATTATTTCTACAATGGACATGAGCTTAACCAACATCTCTAACACACTCTCTAACTGATACTTTTCCTTCCTTTTACAGACACTGTAGGGCATTCTCCACTGTCTCCTGAGAGTATTCAAATTGCTCGGGTGGAAAACATCACCGCCTAACTAAAGACTGGTTATCCAACAATGTCAGGTCACATTGTAACCCCCAACACTTGGTCACTGAGACCAAATGTGGGTTGGATGCACACTCCCAAAGAGAATATCTTGTTTTGAATAGTTCCAGCAAACTGGAAATGAAACAACATCCTGTAACACAAATAAATGTGTAAAAAGAAAGAAAGGTTGGGAGTGATTTGAGCCTCCCTGCTAGAGGATGGGAGGAAGAAAGGGTGACAGTGATGAACTACTTGTGGTTAAAGCATGCACACAAAAGGGAAAGAGGACAAGCAGCTGGTATTATATGGCCGCTAGTGACTAAACAACAACCCGACTGGGTAGAATAACCATGACTTCAACATTATTTTAATTCATCCATCCATAATTCTCTCGCTGACGTCACTCACTCCATCATTGTGCAGCAATTCACGTTACATTTGGGTGGTCAGGTCTCTGGTGAGTTTGTAAAACGTTTAGTGAAGGTGATTGAACAGTTATTTAAGCTCACAAAACAGGAGGTTTTGAAGTCAGTGAGTGAAAAGCAATCTGTAATAGGTTTATCATCTGCTCCTCAATAGGCGGCTGCCAACAATACGGCTACCTCCAAATGAAATGTGCTCTCACTACCAAGGACAGCACAGAAGGCGAAGGAGTGAAAGTCGCTCATTCAACTGTCACATTACTAAAATTGTTTAATTTAACTGTAGAGATGTAGTTAGGAAACAGAGCAAGTGGTCAGAGTTTGAGACGACAAAGTAGCTTCTGTCAGGAAAAATAACACAACACTGTAGCCGTCATTGAATAGTAATTGGGACGCCTGCTCATGCAAAGAGCAGCCAACATCAGAGAGGGAGGGAGTCTTAGCAGAGCTCTAGAGTAGCTCTCTGAGGAGGGGCGTAGGCGGAATGCTGGCAAAACACTAATTTGACCAAGGGAAGCCTTTCTATTCTAGCTTCCCTTTCCAGGAGCTGTTAAAATCCTCATCTGACATCAGTGAATCTCTCAAGCTTTTAAGATGAGTGAGCCATGCTCTATTGCGGAGGCTGAACAAACAGCCCCCAATAATAGATTTAGACTCAAATTAATTGAAGAACAGCATAATCTGCTACAGCTCTTAACCATTCCCAATGCTGAAAACATAGAAACAGTTGTGCCTGTTGAATAAATTATGCTAGGGTCACTGAGGAAATGGATGTGGGAGTAGACCCTTAACAAGAGCTTGTGGGTTCTGATGGTTTTCAGTTCTTTGTTCTCTAACGGTCCTGGGAAATATAACAACACATTGCAATATCAAACAGAGAAAAAATGGCAGACATGAGCTCTTTGTTCCTAATACAGTTGAGGACACTCAATAGTAACAACTCCACAGTAACAAGTAGGCAATCTGGCTATAATGTATGTTCTGAATGGACATTTTATAGGCCAGCGAACTTAGATGAAGAGTTTAGAATGAGCATGAGGACATGAATTCTCATGCCTGGCCTCCTGCTGTCGTGTCTGTTTGACTTTAGCATTTAGAGAGCTGCATCTCACACAGCAAACCACTAGTTAGCCACAATGTGGAGGAGGTAGGAGAGACAATCCACTTCTACTGAACTTTGCAGCTCAACATCGTGATCTCCTGTTACAGTTTCAGCAACTAAATGAACAAGACCAAACACACACACGCTGTAGGTGGGAGGACAGTGAAGGAACAGTACCTGATTGTCATGCAAATCCAGGATATTCAGTTTGGACAGGCTTTCCAGGCAACATATCTTATGGATTCTGAGAGGTATCAGGAAGAAGTGACATAAAATGAAAAATATATCATGAAAAAGTACATGAAATACAATTTGTCACAATGTCTGTCAAACAATAACACCCATTCTGAAATGTACCAGGTGTAGATAAATGTTAAGGAAATCCATAGGAAAATAAGAAAGTGTGTGTGTCTATTGAACAGGTTCCAAGCAGAGGACATCAGTTTGGCCAACAAGTGTATTAAAAGGTTACATTCCCAGAGGAAACCGAACATACAGTAGTGTACAGTGACTTATTGTTCAGGACTGTCCACATGGATTTAGATCAGATTACACAAGGAAAGGCTGTTGCCTCTTGAAAAATGCCAGTGGAAAGCTAAATCAGTGGTATTCTTTACTCTTCAAGTGCCTAGGAAATAGGTCCAAAAAGACAAATGTCATGTTTTAAAGAAAGTGAAACAAATGGCAGCGATCGTCTGTAAGATCTTGATGTCATTTGTCACTTTAATCTTCCTCCTGTCGAAATGACCCACCAACACCAAAATTAATATTTTTAAGTTAAACTGGGCACCATATGGAAAACCTTCATCTCTGAAGCTTACCATGTAGCAACAGCTAGTGAGCAAAATGTATTAACATTACATGCAAACCAGACGATGTCTTGAATAACCTACAAGCAACGCCTTTCACATTAAACCAGAAATCCTAAAATGTCACCTATTCTCAATCATCTGCTTCACTACCACAAATATGAACTGCACAGTAATACCTTGGTGATAGAGGCAATTCAGACATGACATATTTTTGTGTTTGTTTGATTCTGAATCTACTGATGACAACCAACCTGTTCTTCCCCAACATAAGGATCCTGAGAGAGCTTAGAGCCTCAATGCCAGTCATTTCAGAGATGTGATTGTCATACAAGTTCAGGAAAACAAGGTGTTGCAGATATGACAGATGCTGGATCATTGTGATTACATTGTGCTGGAGGTTGAGAAGCTGTAGTCCATCCATAATGCCCAGCTGAGGACATTCCTCCAGACCACGCCTGGGAAATTAAACGAACATTTAGAACGATTTAGGCTTCATATGGAGGACTACAGATCTGCGCTGAATTTTCTTGACGTAACCTTCAAACCATGCAATCTAGTATTTAGTATTTTATTATAAATACTGACTGACTTATGTCTGCTCTGTCACCAGTGAAGTAGTTCTTTGTCAGAAAACACCTATCTTTGGAGACACAGGGTGGGGATTTTAAGGGACTTTGCTGCTCCCTGGTGGCAATCTGAAGCACTTGCCATTTCAAGAGAAAGACTTCTTATTTCTACTGCAGATATATTGACAGACAGACAACAAAACTTAAATGGCATAGAGATGCCGCAAGATTATTAAAGACACTGCAAGCACATGATACATAGAACTGTCGTGACACATGACATGACGATCAAATGTCCAGTTTACAGACTTTATCCACACACGTAGAATCCTAATCTGTTAGAAACTCAAAGAGACCAGAGGTACCTGTCCAAGTCGATTCGTTGACAACTGGATGCAAAACTGTCACAAGGCAATCGAGTGAAGGGAAAACCAGGGACTGCATTGTATCTATATCCTCCAGAACCACCTGACATGGACATTACACAACAACTTCAAGATAAACATAATCTCGTAGTGCACTGTATAAAAAACAGTGTTATGTATTTGTAGGGTACATAACTTAAGTCTTATAATCTGAGATAAAACCAGTTTTTAAATCCCATAATATTTGCCAAGTTATTGCCATAATTACCTGCTGGCCTGGGAAGGTTTAAGGCATTACGATAGTAAGTGGCCCCTCCACTGTGGATTGGTAACCTAGATTTGTCTCTAGCTTCTTGTGAAACTGCATCCAAACCACTGTGAGCACCACTCGCTAGTGGTACTCGATTATGTGCAGAGGAATCTGTAGAGTCACCTGCAAATGATGGCCCTGGAGGTCCTCTCTGGCTGAATGCATGAAACCTGTTTTCTACAAAGGGTATAATATAGTGAAACAAAGAGTCCATACAAATATGTACATACTTCATAAATGTACAATACACTGCTGAATCACACAAAAACCTCTTGGGCGATTGGTGGGTGGGTGAGTATGTGAAATGGGTGGACGGGTGAAGCTTACCTGGGTTAAAATGATGGGCGGTATTCATGTATTTTTCTTTAACAAGATCCTGAGAGTCAGTCTGTGAAGTGGTAAACATGATAAATTGTGAAACATGCATTGGCAACACAATGTCCTTCAGTGTGTTGTGTGTTATTACTCACCATCCTCTGGCCTCCCTCTGGTACTAGTGATTTGACAGTTGTAAGGTGCAACTTGCAGCTGTTGATCTGCAAACAATTTTTGGGATTGTTCACAACAACAACAGATCACCAGTGTTGCATTAAATAAGACACAGACCCCTCAACGATATTCAAACATTAACATATAACTATGTTAGCTAGGCTGCTATCTTCAACTAACAATAACAGGTCATTTCCTTTTCTGAGCCTGGGGCTTCAACTTTTAATAGTTAGCCTAACGTTGTAGCACTGTACTGTGAAGCGACGGTGAAAGTCTATTAGAAGTGGTATTTACCATGGGGGTGAGAAACACCCATCTATCGTTGGCACTGGCGTTGTGTTTCTGAGAGCGCATGGTTTTGCCTTCAGTCCGCTCTGACTCCATTTAGCTAACGTTTGCTAAAGTTAACAGTAACGAGCAGCCGTGAGCGTTGACAGAACAGGTCTCCGAGCCGCCGTACGTAACGTCAGGAATATTTGAAAGAAACAAGTGAACTCATTCGCTACGGTGAGCTGTTCCTAGAACCCAACGCAAAGTTTGTTCGTCCAAAAAACGATTTTCATCGTTTACTTCAGGAACTACAAACTTCCTCGGAGACAAGTACCGTTGCCGTGGCAACGGCCGCGTTGCCTGGTAACGCTCACTTCCCGTGTCACTAAAAAGCACTCCGTGGGGAAACTAGTCCTGAAATGAGTTGTTTTGCTACCTTTGAGCTCGTTTTGGTATGCAATTTAATCAGTTATCACTTAACTTATATTCTCTCTGCCGTGTAGAAGCGACTTGTGTTACAATCTAGATTTGAAAGATTGTGTTTACATCGTGTATATTCCGAATATTTTTATCTGATCTTATATTTACCTTTAATCTAATTAACACAAAATATTATAAGTCCCCGAAAAGGGAGCACTGGTTGTTTTCTGGCTCTCTAAGCTTCCATATGTAGTCTGCTGTGTGGACTGTACGTGACAGTGTACATACATAATGTACAGAGAGCAGGCAGGACAGGGGGTCAGTAGGGGCCCTCAGCTCATATTAACACCAGGCCTCCCTGTCAGGTTAAGCTGGCCATATTTATAAAGCCTTAAACCTTGTTGTCATTGTACATCACACTGGAGGTTATTCTCAGGTCAAGGTTCATCAGGATCAGCCAATCACACATGCCCTCCCAGAATACACCTACTGCAGAGTAAATGCAGCAGAAAAACAAATGCCCTGATGTACACAGTTAGCCTAAGTAAACACTTGCCCCTGCTGTGGTCAGTCACATAGACCTTTGAGATGTAGGTGCAGTCAGCTTTTTCCAGCAACACAGCTGAACTAGAGTAATCATATCACATTTAGAAGGAAATTAATCCGACTTAGAGTATTGTTGTAGTGTTGTTCTGTTCAGCAACATTATCCTCAGAAAATCCTAATCCTGATCACGTCAGTATGGTAAAGACAAAACATCTTAATATACAAAGGCCACTGTGACCAACTACTGGTAGGCAACACCATAAAACACTGACGTAAGCTGTATAAAGTACTGTATTTGTAGAGATTTGTAGAAATTGCCCATAATAGTTTTGCATGCATGCATGTTTTCCCATCATAATTTTCTAAACATAATTAAAATGAACCACTTTAAAAGTAATTGTGTAGCTGCACCTGTGAACATTTCATTTTGACTTGTTCTCTGCTCCTTTTCTGTGCCCCAGATAAAATGGATGTAATGTCGGGGACAGAGATTGCTATGATAATCACCACAAGCACACTGAAAATAGACCTCTCTCACAATGGATATTTGTCATTTCAGGAAAAGGCACAGGTGCAACAAATAACACTAATGATGGCTCTGTTCCAGTTAGGCGTGTCAGTAAGCCATGGCAGTGAGTCACTTGCATTTCTCAGATATCTTGGAATTATCTTATGCTGATTCATCCCTGCAATTACCCCCCTGTACATTATATCTCAACATCGACCTGACCGAGCATCTTGGTGCATTTTGGGTTAATCCAGACATCTCCTTTATAAATGTTAGATTACAGACCAACACTTTTCACAGTTTGTACATTATTATGATTTATAAATGTATGTGTCTGGAGATTTATGTGTAAAAAACAATAATTAGACCTTTCTCCTGAACATTTTGACTTGTGAGAGCAGCAAAAGCACAGGTGTAAATAAATGGCATTGTGATCATTCAGGATTACACCCGTGTTAGACAAATCAAATGTTCACTGTGGGAAAAGAATTATGAACTGTTATGTTGCTGTAAACTAAAACGTGTCAATGCTTTGTCATGTTATGGATGGAAAACATTTTGGACCCTGTCTTTAGCCACAGGTTTGGTGCTCTATTTACAATATAACCCTGGTGACTACCCATTTAATCTCAGTCAGTAACACCACAGAACACCAAATGTGATCAAATAGATTGTGTTGTGTATTTTCAGCCTTTTTACTCTGGCAGTAATAAGCGGTTGCTCAGAGAGAACACAAGTCCAGATTCATCAAAGGGACATCCCACACACTGCCTGTCAGAATCTATTCATGAAGCACAGGCTGACACATATTATGGGAGGCAAATATCAACAGTTTGTATGACAGGCCATATTGAAAAAGGACAATGTAAATTCTAGTTGTGTATAGATTGATCTATATGTAGCTGTGCTAGATCTATCATACATGATTCCCAGAAGAAACACAGACACAGAGCCAATAAAATGTGTTGCTCCTGCATTTGTCACCTTAGCCTAGTGGTATTTATTCATAATTGTATCTTCGTTATAATATGACCATCCTCTGCCCTTATGAAGACCCTTTAAAAGTTTGCTCTTTAACCGAGGTCAAAGTGTGACATTTAACACATTATAATTTTTTTTTTCTTAAAGTTAGACCCAGTGGTCTCAAGAGTCTGTCAGCAGAGGGATGGATACATGCAGGAGGGTAAATCGATGTAATTTGTTCTTATAATTGGACAGTCTGAGTTTATAAACCATAACATTAAGTGATATATACCGTTGGTTGTTAGAAAAAATATAAACATTAGCTTTTTTTCAATCATAAGAAATATAAAAATAAACATGGTCTAATTGTACCAGCAGAGCTGATTTACTGGCAGCAGCACAGCATGACCTCCGCCTTGATCGACAGAGGACATGTAGCTGTAGAAACAGAGACATTATTTGTAAACATATTCATGTTAAAAAAAGAGGTAGAGGGTGATGTACATAGATCTGCTGCTCTCTGCCATCTGGCAGTGATTGTGTGTGTGTGTGTGTGTGTGTGCGTGTGTGCGTGTGTGTGTGTGTGTACTCCTGTCAGTCAATCCATTTATCAAGCATTTTTATTTTTGTTTATCCAGAGGAGCTGAAAAGATTTATGCCATTCAGTCAGAGGGAAAAATAGATTACTTGACAGCTCTGGGTTAATGATTTCAAGCTTCAGTTCATTATTTATGCAACACCCAAGACTGCGACTAGGAGAAACCAGGATGGCTGTTAAGTGTGACATTCAGTACGTTCACACGCAAACAATAACAGGTTCAGGTTATAGTTTTATTGTAGAGCTCACAGGACCCACTTCCCCAGTAACCTAGAGTTTACATGATTTGTTAGATAACCAAGCCAGTATCAACCTGTGTTTACAGGAAACACAATATCAGCAAGACAAAGAAAATCTGTTTGTTTGTTGCTTTACATCTATTTTTATTTTGATCACATTAATGCAAGCTCTCCCTTTAGTTGAAAACTGATTATATCTACGCTAATTACAAATTCACTAAAGTGCGCTCTGTTAGCTGCGATGGCTGCAAGAGAGGGGGGTTGCCAGCATTTCCTCACAGGGTTACAACCATCCCCCATTTTTTGCAGTATTCCTCAAACATGACAGGAAGGGGAAAACAGATTGGTTGCCAAGGCCCCTCCATCTGCCATGTCACATTGTATCAATAATATCAAGCTTTGAAGGGACAAGGAGAGGAGTGGAAAAAAGCAACTATTGTTTTCAGTGATTTCAAGAATTTAAAAATTCGCACCCTGGGCCTCAGCAAATCTCCTCCATTGTTAACTATTGTATCTCCTGCTTACATCAACAACTACTGCAACTATGCAAGTAGCATGGCAGGTTTAACAATGGAACTCTATCTTACAGGAAGAATTTTTACCTCAATGGGAACTGCATGTGCTGTACATTCCCCAGGCTTCGTTCATAATGAGTGATGGTGGCTGGGTCCGTTGGATTATGTAGATGTTACATAATTACTGATGTCACATTAAACTAGTGCGTTTTACAGCGAGAAACACGACTAAGAGTCTTCAGCTACTCTGTGAGGCTGAACTAAATGCCAACATCAGTATGCTAACATGCTCAAATCAGGATACTACCATGCTGAGAGCAGTTTTCATTCCACATTCACATCTTAGTCTGTCGTGTTAACATGCCATACACTAATGAAAACATATTTATGAATATGATATTCCATTTCTGCCAATAAAAGCCTCTTAAATGTTACACACTGGACCTTTAAGGGTCCACACCTGCAGCCCAAGCCCTACTTGTGCCTTAAGAAAAACTCCTAGAAAGAACATTAGGGACAAGAGAAATGGAAAACAGGAAGGAAAAGGAAAAGTCCTCTAAAGAAGAATCCTTAGGAGAGAGCTTCTCCTTGGAGGGTTGCTGGTGCGGGAGGTGCCAAAAGTGGGAAAACTGTAATTATGAAAAATGAACATGCTGTGTTATGGTGTGAATTAGAAGAGAATACCGCAGTAGTTTTAGGTGCTATTGAACTGTATTGTATTATATTATACTCCTTATACTGAATATATATAGATATATATATTAAATATAATTCAGAACATACTTCCACATCCACACTTAGTGACATCAAAATAAGGGTGGACAAAATAATAGACAAATCTTTTTTGTACACCTTGTGGAGAGATGCTTTAAAGAGGAATGAAGAAGGCAATAAACGTGGGACAACCAAGTCTTAAAAGAGGAAGTGGCAAGTAACACCACTAACAGGTGCTTACAGCGCCATCCTGACGTCACTTCCGTGACTGTTTGTCTCAGTTTCACTTCAGCATTTTCATCTTAATTCTCTTGGTTCAAGAACTTCCTAGAAATTGTTGTGAAATCAATTAAATAAGACAGAATAAGGCGTGAGGCGTGCTTCTACAAAATTCTTGGAACGTGTTTATTTGCATTGGGAACAGTTTAAATGACCCTGCTGGCAGACTCTTCCATTTGATGTGAGAAAATGAATCCTCCATAAGAAACTAAATGCTTCAAATTGTTTGTTGCCAACCTCTTGCTTACCCCCCTCCTCCCTCTCTCTCTGTCATTGTCTCTCTCTCCCCCCCATGTTGCATTGTACACAAACTGGAGCGCTGTATGGCATGTGGTGCAGAGAATGAGTCAGACTGCCCACCAGCTGTGAGCATGGCTTGCCAGTGGGGAGGAGTAAAGATATTTCATGCAGGGCAGGCAAGAGCCAACAACATTGGTGTGGGTGATTTACAGGGCTATTAGGATGGAGGCCAACAACAACCGACGAAAATGGTCCTGAGGTGTAGCCTGCAGTGAAATGTTCAGATAACCGTAATAATAATGCTTAGTTTAACACCTACATATGTTCTTGTGCTACAAATCAGCATCAATGATTCTGGAATTGAACGCCTTTTGGAGGTCCCAGTGGATATCTTAGACAAAATAATAATCAGTCTACTTAAACTTCAGTTCAGTGAGGTTTAACTGGTCCCATAGGCCTAGAGCAAGGCTGCAGCTACCATTAAGGACACTTAGGTCATGTCCTCAGTATTGTTTGTGGGAATTTTGAGTTTTACTGACTTTAGGGTGACTTTACATATTGCAGTTACACACACGTGAGTTTTAAATGGACATTTTTTATATTTCTTGGACTAAATATTCTTAAATTTTAGTTTTATAAACTAAAATCCACATTCTCAGTAGTGTGAAGGAGGCTTTAAAACAACACATGGAATCATGCAGAGAGAATAACTGGACAGAAAATATGATAGAAGAGTTTAATGAATGTATAAAATGTGAATTTGAAGAAAATGTTTGATGTGCATGTGTGCGGGGGGTGACTGGCTGAATTTGGACATTTGGACCGTAGTTTCGATACCCTACCAATGGTTTTATGGTTTTCGATTTCTGATTTGACCCCGATGAATCTAACAGTCTACTATTCATTTCTATGCTTCCATCTTCCCTCCGGCACATGCACTCCCACTTGCCTCACGCGTGCAACCAGCCGCTGAAAGCATATTATCCAATTAGCAGGGTTAGGGAAGGGGTCGTCCTTGGCACGGCAGTTTCCTAATTAGAGAGGAACACGTGAATTTGCTCCCCTACTTAGAGCCATGTAAACGGCACTTTCGGGTCTTCGCAGAAAAAGACAACTCACTCTGTGTGCAAAATCTGTGTGAAAAGAGACCGAGAAATATGCACGCCTTAGTGAACGCCTTCATGCGCTGCCTCTCCTTCCTCTTGCCTCCCTCTTGGCTTTGTGTCAGCTTTTGCTTGTGGGTTGGGAATGACTGCGAAGAGACGCTGCCGCGGCCCAATCCCAGAGCTCGTTTCAAAAGCAGAAAGCCTCTTACATATGAGGAAGTAGCAGCAGTAGCAGCAGCAGCAGCAGCAGCAGTAGAAGCCCAACGAGGCTCCAGCCCGTCGGTCTCACCAGGTCCAGGCTGCGTCTCGCCGGCTGCTACAAGCCCCGTTGCTCCTCAGGGCCCTCCATCGGGTCGGATCTGGATCGGGGGTCTCTGGCGAGCCGTGGAGCGCGTCTTCGGAGCCCCCTGGGTCCTTCTCCGCCATCACTGGTGCCCGAAGAAACGTCGAGCAGCTTTACGCACCCCGTATCCTGTCTGTGCCTTCGAGTCGAGCGCGATTAAAAGCTTCCAGGGAGGCGCTGCTGCTGCTGCTACGACCGAGGGAGGCAGGGGAGCGGGTGGAGGCACCTTGGCTGATTTGAGGAACATGAGTGGGTCCGTGGGGATCCCCAGTCCGAACCCAGCGGAGTGCGCCTCGGATGCGTCAGCGGAGCGGGGCATCGATGAGGTAATCACCGTGGATCAGCTCACGCAGGAGATGGGGACGGTGACGATAACAGTGGCCATTCAAGCGGCGGAGGACGAGGAACCAGAGGAAGTGTCATCCAATAATATTGACTTCCTCGGAGGCAGCTGTAGTGAGGACGAAATCGGAAGACATGACAAATCAAGGTTTGAGTTATTGGATACTTTAGGTTAATCGTGGTAACAACAGGGTTTGTAAACTTTGAATATAAGCCAGTTACACCATCCTCTGATATTCCTGGCATTGGCAGACTTTTATTTTCTGAATTTTTTTTTTTTTTTTGCTGAATGAATGTGAGCACACACTCCACGGTAGGTGTCCTGGGTTCAGTAAGGTTGGACTGGAGGGTGAATGAAGCTGTCAAGGTTATTGTAACCCCATTAGTCTATTTCTGCGTCGGATTTGGTAACGTATTGGCTCGTTACTTCAGTGGGTGAACTGCCAGCACATGAGCAGCAGCGTGGGTGCTGTTGGATTGTTCTGTTTCACTGAAAGAATGCCAGCTGTGTTAAAAGATACTGTACAAATATATATATATATATATATATATATATATATATATATATATATATATATATATATATATAAAATCTGTAATTCCGACAGGTGTATCGACAAAAGGCAGTAACCGACATCAGTTAGCGAGGAGGACAATGGACGCTCACAGTTGGCAGTGTAAATCCCCACAGACAGACACACTTTAGGGATTATTATTATCTCCTGGGTGGGATGGCGGGGAAGTGTTTGACCACCTGTAGGCAGCACCAGTGCTGTACAACCAGACACCTGAGAGAGGGAGAAAGGGAGAGAAAGATAAAGGATGGCACCTTCACTTTAATCTAATTCCCCTGCGTCATGGTCTGCTATTTTTATCCTCTGGCCTATAAGTTCCCTACGTGCGCAAAGGGTGAGTCAGTGACAGAAAGGCCAAAGGGGAAAATAAATCGTTCTGTCCGTACCAAGCGTTTCAGTGTGCTTGTCAGGTCACACCCTAATGGCTCTCCTCTGTGGCATTAGGGGTGTCTTTAACACCTGTGCAGGCCGGCGCTTTGTGGCACGTTTTTTACACGCAGGATGTAGGCTATATTTAAGATCACTAAACATCTGATAAGAAGCATGCTTTGAGCTGATAAGGGCAGATTGTGTATGTGTCTGTACATGTGGCTGTTTTCACCCTTTTATATCCCTGCAACATTCCTTTAGAGACTTGCAGTGCACTACTTGATAGTGAGTTGAAAGTGAACTTCACCACATCCCTAAAATCCACTGCATTTTCTTAAATCCACACATTTAAACTCCCTCTCTGTGTGCTGACATTGACAGTATTCTCTTCTAAAAGCTCAGCTGAGGTGGTCTTTATCTGAAGACCTGGGGAAGCGGTGGGCTCGTGCCAGCTGTGCGGTCAGCCAGCCGGCTGGAAAGCTGTTGACTGAGGGTGTGTGAGGGAGGGAAGGAGGGGAGGAGGCTGGAGGAGTTGATGACTCATCCACAAAATTTCATTCAGACCCTCACTCTAATCCGCAAAGCTACCTGACTCTGCTGCTCCACAGCCTCAACCAGCCAGATGTCTGACTGAGATCAACTAGTGCCCAAAAGGTTCAGCTATGCAGTGTTGGTACCAGTTTCTGTAAATTGTGTGAAGTGGATGTGGTGAGCCACCATATTCTGTGTAGGAGGTAGAGCCTGTGACTCCGCGCCCTTCAGATGGAGAGGTCTTGGCAGTTTTTTGGATTAGTGGGACACTGGTGTCGAGGTCTGGCACAGAGGTATAGTGACTATGGCTGGATACACAGCTTGTTTTTCCTTTGGAAAAGAAAATTTGCAGAGGGAAATGGCAGGATGACGACATATCCCTGCCAATAACTTGTAAGCCTCTGGCTTATTGTATTAATGAAAGTGAAATGTGTAACAGTTGTAATTTTGGCAGTTTAAGATATGAAGCACACTGCTGTTTCAGTGGCGAGTCTCTGCTGACCATGATGCATGTTGTCTTCCCACACATAGCGGTGCCGGGACCAGCGGAGGAGAGCTGGAGGAGGAGAGCTGGCAGCCCCCGGATCCAGAACTCATCCAGAAGTTGGTCACGCAGATCGAGTACTACCTGTCTGATGAGAACCTGGAGCATGATGCCTTCCTGCTCAAACACGTCAGACGCAACAAACTCGGGTTTGTCAGCGTCAAGTTGCTCACTTCATTCAAAAAGGTAACGACTGTTGCAAAGAACTTGGGTTAAGGTCTGGAAATAGAGGAGGAGGAGGAGGAGGAGGAGTAGTAGTAGTAGTAGTAGTAGTAGTAGTAGTCCACTGGTGATGGTTCATTGTGTGCTTTTAATGTTTTAATATTTTGATATTCCTGTGCTGAAAATGGGAATAAAACATCCAGCTATAATCTACATGAATTATAGGAAGACTGACCAGAATGCACAAATCAAGTTAGGGCAAGCCAGTTTTAAAATGGGAACCATGATCAACTCCGAGCCATTATTTATTCCCAATGTCGTTGAGGCTGAGAAATTGAGGATTGAATAGCAATGACTGGCTGTTTCTACTGTCAACATAACACTGTTGGAGATGCAATGACATTCTCACACTGATTCACAACAGCTTGTGCTTCTTTAGGCTCATGCATGCAGATTTTTTTGGGTTGTTTGTTTTTTTTAATCTGTTTATGCCACAAGTAATTTAACTCCCCACACACATTTTTTAATATAAACAAGCATTCAAATATGAGCTTGATAACACTGAGGTGACGCATTTCAAACATGAGCAAATTCTACAGTGATGAATAGAGTCAGGATGTTTGGCTGTGCTGAATCGGTTATAATGCCAACAGAGATATTGATCCAGGAAGTATGACTGAAAGGAAGGCAGTACACATTACTTATTGATCCTGCTGACAGATGTAAGTTATTGTTTAACCAGTTATTTTAACTGAAGCTTCATAACTCACAAAGAGAAGCTGTTGCAGGGATCCTAATGGTTATGAGATGGCCCTCTTAAAACACTTCACATCCCACCCATGTAACACAAGCATTGTCTCTTTGCAGGTGAAACACTTGACTCGCGACTGGAGAACGACTGCTTATGCTCTGAGACACTCAAAGATACTTGAGCTGAACGATGAGGGGCGCAAGGTGCGGCGTAAATCTGCAGTCCCAGTCTTTGCCAGCGAGTCGTTGCCCAGTCGCATGCTGCTGTTAAGTGATTTGCAGAGGTGGCCAGAGCTGGCTGCTCTCACTAAAGATAATGGCGGCAGCGAGGGAGGAGCCCCTCAGCAGGAGCAGCTGATGAAGCTGTTGCTGAAAGCGTTCGGAACATACGGCGCCATCGCCTCTGTCAGAGTCCTGAAACCCGGGAAGGACCTGCCGGCTGACCTGAAGAGGCTGAGCGGCCGCTACACTCAGCTAGGCACTGAGGAATGTGCCATTGTGGAGTTTGAGGAGGTGGAGGCTGCTGTTAAAGCAAATGAAGCTGTGGGGAGCGAGGATGGAGGGGCCAGTTCGTTGGGGTTGAAAGTAGTCCTGATTGGCACCAAGCCGCCCAAGAAGAAGGTACCCAAAGAAAGGCCGCGTGAGGAGGGAGGCATGCGCAAAAGTCGCTCGCTCAACAGTAGAGTACGAGAGCTTCAGTATCACGGGGACGATTCGGCCTGCAGCTCCTCAGACACTGAGAGCAACCCTACGTCCCCTAGGCTGGCCAGAAAGTCCCAGTCCTGCAATAAGCTCAGCCCCACCACTGCAGGCATCAGCTTCCAGAACAATCACCTAAGTCCTGGTATGTCCCCGCGTAACAGTCCCTGGTCTAGCCCCCGTGCCAGCCCCTGTTCTCAGCGCAAGTCTCCCCATTCTCATAAGTCTCCCTTAGCCAGCGAGGGCAGACTGAGTCCTGAGGCTGGGCGTCGCTGGGCAGACTACTCCTCAGACAGTAGCCTCACTCCTTCAGGGAGCCCATGGGTTCAGCGGCGCAAGCAGGTGGCATCTCAGGAGAGCAGTCCGGTCGGCAGCCCGATGATGGGCAGAAAGATCCAGAATGCCGATGGCCTGCCGCCGGGCGTAATGAGGCTGCCGCGGGGTCCCGATGGAACCCGGGGCTTTCACTGTGTCACTATTAGTGAGCGGGGAAAGACTGCCGCCACTCAGACTTGATATGTGGAGCATCCTTATGCATTCCTTATCCCCCAGAAATAAAGATAGATTGGAAATTTGAGCAGTTCTTGGCCATGTCGCTCAGCCCCCACCCCACATTTGAGACTGTGTAGATATATTTTTGTTGAGTGCATCAGTTTTCAGTCTTTGTTTATATTTTTATACGATGTTTTGAGTTACCATGGTAACATTAGTGATTTACTAATGGAAATTTGAGTGAATGTAAATTGATATTCCTTTTGAAATGGACCATGTCACCTCCATTGCTGTCTAAACTTGTTCTACATTGGGCGGGTTGGAGAGGGAGTTCCACTTCCTTTTTTTTTTCTTCTTTTTTTTATTGAAAAGCGTCCTCTGTCTTGTGTGTAAAAGCTCACAACATTGTCTGTGGATGTTGTATAAATGTGTACGTGGCATAGGCACATGGACTTGATAGAGATATCACCATATGCCTTTTCTGTATTTGTCTACTGTGAGTTCCATTTTTACATGCTGTTTAAGCTGAGGCCATAATCACTCCACTGCCATAAAGGTTGGACAGTTAAACTGGGACATGATATTTTTTTAGTTTTTATTTTGCCTTTTTTAATTTCAGTATTTCCTTTGGCACTTAGTTGGGAGTGTTCTAGCCCTTTTAAGTGTTAATTTGTTCGACAGGTAGCTGCTTTATTTATTTTTTTAGCTTTGAATTTCTTTTTCTTGGCATATCTGTTTCCATCAGTCTAAGCGCACAGTGAGGTTTGAGGGATCAGGTCAGGAAGGATAAATGCTCTTACATCTGAGCTGGGGTATTTGTACAGTGCGATTCCTATTGTACAAATAAATCACTAAAATTGCAATTGGCCTGAGTTTCTCTTTTGTTTGTGACACATTTTGAGGTACTCGTGATTGTCTGAAACAACCATGATCCAATCCTGTTTTTTCTAATTTCAATATGTAAGCGAGATTTAAGTGAGATATTGTTGCTGTGCCAAGACTGTAGAAGCTTTTCAGACTTGGAAAGCAGAATTGGCACTCTGGTGTGTGTTTTTTTTTTTTTTTTTTTTTTTTTTTTTTAAATGAATTGCACAGATGGGAAGAGAGTTGATGGATTATAAGCCATATCAACCCTCCACAAGGAAGATAAAATTGACAAACCGGTGGAGCAGACCATTTGCACAAGTAATTTATTCACATTGCCTGTGTCTTGGTATGTGCAATGCCAAGAAATGGCACCCCTTTGAATCCTTCACATTTTAGTTTCATAATGTTGGATGAAGTGGATGTACTTTGGCTTTTTTGACACAGCTCAACAGTAATTTACAAATGATTCAATTTGAATTCAGGTATTCACCTCCTCCAGTCAACATGTAGACACCTTTCAGACAGCAGTGACAGCTTTGTGCCTTTTTGTCTGGTCTGTGTTGCATTTACACATTTGGACATCCCCATTCATCCACCGTCCCAGCTCTGTCAAATTGCACAGATTGCGAGTGAACAGCAATTTTCAAGACTCGCCACAGATTCGTGATTGGTTTGAGGTTTAGGTTTTGAATTGGACTGCATCGTTGTTGTTCTGAAAAAGGTACATTCCAGTCTAGTTTTGGCTTTGTTTGGGGTTGTTGACTTGCTGGAAAATGCATCAACTCCCAGAGTTCTCTTGCAGACTGCAGCAGATTTTCCTGTGAGTTTTCTTCAATCATCAAAGATAGGCTTTAGGGTGTATGATGGACAAAAAGCTCATTTTGAAGGCCATCTTACTTTTTGTGTCATCCTAATGTGAGCCAGTTATAGCACTTGCACAGCCAGGCAACCCTGTGGCTCTTTCAGTGTTCATAGACCTCTTGATGGCTGCTCACCAATGCTCTTCTTACACATACATTTAGGACAGCCTTTTGAGGGATAGTCAGTCTTTGTAGTATCTTTCCACAAATTGTCACTTTTCAATAGCTTTGTCGCAAACTTTATCATCACAAACATCCTGAAAGCTCACCCGGTAGAGCTGGCCCCCATGTACAAATGCTGAGTCCTCGCTGCAGCGGCCATGGGTTTGACTCCGACCTGAGGCCCTTCGCTGCGTGTCATCCCCCCCTCTCTCCCCCTTTCCTCTTCACTCACTCTTCAGCTGTCACTATTAATTAAAGACAACAAAAGCCCCCCCCAACCTGATTTAAAATTTCATAGCAAAGTGCTCTTTCACAATTAATCCTTTTTTGTTTAATATGTATTTTGAATTTAGGTCATATTGTAGAGCTTTGTTTCCACTTTGTCATGAAATGATCCTCTTGGCTGATTAGTGTCAAAAAAATTAATTAGTCCATTATGATTCAATGTTGTGTTACAAAACAAAATGAAAAGGTCCAAGGGTGGTGAATACTTTTTATGGGCACTATAATTTCTGTCATGTCCTCAGGTGGTTTCAAATTGCTCCTTAGCAACCGTCGAAGTGTGAGAGAAAGGAGCACACAGTTGGATACGTATAGAGTGGCTAGACTTTTGAATTCATGTGGTTACAGCATGTCTGTTTATGCGCTTTTTGTTGCTAGATATGATATCTCCTGTAGGAGTGAGCATAATGAGAGGACACAATCTGTCAGGCAGTGTTGGATACAGAGGGTCAGAACCGATGCTCCAAAATTCAGAGCTGCGATGGGACTAAGTGGGATTGCGTAACAGACGGATGAATAAACTTTTGTTCTCTTTGCATGATTAGCAATTCAAAATTAGGAAGTCGTGATACTGTCTGTCTTTGACAGACAATATGTTGGCTCAACTCTTAAAGACTGTTCATTCCAAAATGTGTTTGGGATAAGTACCTCAAAATGAAACTATTATTCTCATAGGACGACGTTCTATATAATTACCGTCAAGGATGGTTTCATACTCACAGCAAATGAGAATATCATAAAGAGAGATAATAGCATAAGTAAATAACACGCTAGCCATTATTTGTAATTGGGCAGTAGCCATTCATGTATGAATAAAATGTTATTTAGTGCAGTAATTTAGCTATTTACTCTAGACTTGATTCTTGCCAGAGATAATAAGTAAGATGGGGTGATCAGATTACATGTTAAAAAGTCTTCCAGCTTTGTGTTATACTAAAGTTTTCTACCATCATTATATTATTTATCATGCATGTACCATAAATGAGTGTACTCACATTTACATGCATATACACAGATGTATATACAAACACATCCATTGAGCATGCATGAAATGTTAAACCCACTGACAGGTAATAGACAGGCAATGCAACCTAACACATAATAACACAGTATGATTCAGACACACTGAGGTTATGCTGTGGCAGTCAGTAGCAACAATCATAGGGAGTATCCTGTGGACTACAAAGCCTTCTGTCAATATTTAAATTGCAGGTTTCTAAAAGGTGGGAAAAAAATAATTTACGTCGTCTAGCATTTCAAGTCTCCGCCTCAGCTCAGAGTATATGACAAACACTTGCATCAGTCTGTGGGAGGGTGCTGTAGTGAGTGGGCAGCGTCACATTTGAGGAACTGGAAGTAGGGTGGAGTTACAACAGTCTCAGCAAAGCAGCCAATTGGAAAAGTCGATACAAAAATAAGAACTTACTTGAAAGGAAATGATTTTTCCCCCGTGATTTCTTTTTTCACCCCCTCACATTATGTAACATGAAGTTATACCTACATGAATTGTTGAAATAAATAGTGCTGTTGTAAACTGATTTACTGAAATAACTGTATAATTCACTCACTGTTAAACACGTTTAAAAACTGTCTCAGGCATCTCAGTGCCTTGCTCAAAGGCCCTTAAATAGTGCTAGTTTAGTGAGTGTTCCTCTTCCCCTTGTTACCCTCCTGACCCCATCCTTCTGTCACACGCTCATGGGTAACATAGGCTTCTGGCACCACTCACTGTCTTCAATGTGAGAAAAAGCACAGACATCTGTGAAAATGACCTCAACTAATAACAGAGCTCTGAATTCCTATCAGAGGCTGCAAGCCGGAGCTTGTGACCTCTTGAAACAAAGCACCTGTCCTGCACACGTTCTCTCTATTGAGGTGATGCTGACCTCTGACCTCGTTGTAAGGCATCCATTGAGCTTCAGAGAGAAAAATAAGCAGGGTTTTATCCAGGACGGTTGTACAATGAATGGAAAAATGCTGCAACTTATCACAAGAAAGGCAACATTAGTCATTCAATTTCTGCTCTTCTGAATTTTAGAAATGGATATTTGAAATATTTTAGCTTTCAGGATGTGGTTACTCAACACAGAAATGGTAGCCAAAATTGTGTCTCTTCAACTGATAGCTTGTCACCCTTTCTCATGCCCTGTAAATCCACCGGTTTTACTGCAAAACCTGACCAAATAGTGCACTGGAGCAGTGTGGCCCCATGAAACACTACCAGAAAAACACACAGCCAATGTTCTGGTATATCTGTTGGTTCTGCCAGTACAATTAGATAAACACAAATGATATTTCACTATTTTATTTACATAAAAAATGTCATTTACAGTGTTCCAACAGATTAAAATGACCCAACACTGAAAACAGAAACCATATTCACATGTAGTGAGGTGTGCCACACAGTCGCAAGCAAAGATCTTAACAGTGTTAGCATACAGACAACTGCAATGTGAAGAATGAGTTTGAGGAAAAATACCAGTTGAATGTATCTCCAACACGAGAAACCACAAGTAACTGCAGTTTGCACCACATTTCAAGCGTTGCAATCATGTACAAATATACACTGTTAAAGAGATAATTATCTGTGCGTTTCCCAAGTATCAGACCACATGCTGCAGTGAGTGAGTGAGTGCACTTCTTTCTGGTTTTCTACCAGTTCCAGTTGCTGTTTGAACATACAGTAGCTCTTATGTATCTATTTTTACAACATACAAACTTTATCAGTGAACTTTCCATTTTCCAACATTTGATTTAAGCTTCTGAAAAGCAATGGTATCATTTCTCTCGCCTTTAGGGCAATGTTCTTACAGTTGTGGCCTGCACTGTTGGCTCAATGTAGGTAAAAAATAAAGTAAAAACCGTTGAATACATCCACAAGAGCAGCTATCTGTCACGAATAAGAACACCTGAACATATTCCCTTCTGCATATTCATGCTTTTTTTCAGGACATTAATGTTACCTTTCATCTTGTCTATTGTGTCTGGTGTCACCATTAAAAAAGCTCTGTAGCCATGGTTACCATTTGACCCCCACTGATGCGTTTACCTTGCTATAAGGGGGGAGCAACACATGGCTCCAAGGTGACAGGATGTCTGTGGAAGCACTGCTCCACAGGAAACCAAACCTATCTATGTATCAGCATGAAAAAAGCCTAACCACCAGTAAAGTCAAACCAACCAGCTAGACACAATTACTGGCTCCTCATCCCCCTGCACAGCTCCATCTGCAGAATCTCAACAGGAGACGGACGCAGAATGATTGGGATTGATCTGATGGTTGTGTGGGTAGAGTCATCGTTGGTGTAATGCGGAAAACACTTCCTGCCTGTTAGCAGATGGGATGAGTACGTGTTGCACAGCGAGCTTGGGCAGGCAAACGTGCTAAGAACGCAGCATCTCAGATCTTCAGTCTCAGAGAGTGAAGCGGTGTGAAGAGGGCACAAACCATCCAAGCCATGTCTCCAGAGCTTTGCTTCAGATGTAGAGCGAACCGTCAGCAGGTCCCACATAACCAACCCCAATCAGAAGAACATCTATCAAAGTCCAAATGCCCAGGCCTCCAAAGCTGAACAGTTTGCCCAGACCCTCTCTCCACTGGCCCAGATAAAACCGGTCTGCCCCAAAACCACCAAGCGTAATGCTACAGACAGGAGAGAAAACACAGATGAAGGTAAAAGATGCTGTTAGGAGTACACATTCTGATTCAAAAAGAGTGTTGTATATTGTTTGCAGCATTTAAGCTGGTCATAGCTCTTGAGATACTAGTGGCAGGTTTACCTGAGTGCTAATGCTGTAGACCATTTGTATCCACCAGTCCAGTTACAAAATAGACGTTTCTGAAATCTTCTTTTACCTACAGAAGAAAAAAGACATTTAGTGGACACACACAGTGGTCCTGATTATCAAAACATTTCCCAAACAAATTAACAAGATTAAAACCACAATAACATTTCAGAAAAACAAGCTACCCTGACTGAAGACTCAAATGTACATGTATAGAAAACATGTACTAAAACAGAACATCTGACATTATCTTTTGTGTTTTTTTTGTACCTGATGAGATCAAGGGCCACGATATCTCAACTATGTCAACTTAATAAACAGACTAATAGTCCTTACATAGCAATAATTACTCTACAGTGTTATGTTTAGATAGCACATTAGAAATTTCAGTGATTCTTTAAATTCATGTATTCGAATATGTATCAGCAGAGAACTGTTTTTTTTTTTTTACTATATTGTTCTCCATGCTTCTTGTGCATTTCCTCTAGACAAACTGTTAATTATCACATTAAATATCGCCCAACAGACTGCCTAAACCTGCATAGAAAACTTGAGGACAACCACCTCATTTTTAGTTCTAGAAAACTGGATGAGAAAATCTGTAAAACTCCACTGCCAAAACAACTATGTTCACACTGCCTGACTGAGACACAGTTACCCCACTGCCAGTAAAGAAACCAAGCAGGTTTTACAGTAGAGCCTTTATCATACCTAAACAATGTACATGATCTAACACGTCACAGGTGGCGTTGTAGCGCTTGCGTGGGCAGGACACTGTCATACAGTTGGTAGAGTTTGAGCAGCGGTACTGTGACGGGTCCAGCTGCCAGCAGAACTGACAGGTGAAGGAGAGAGAGAAGTTGGTTTGCGGCTGTCCCGACTCTCCCTACAAACACAAACAGCACTAATCAGCGTTTAATGAAAAAAAAGCTCCACAGCAGTTGCTTAAAATCACTAATTCTATCACCACATGTAACTATTTACTGTGGGGACTTGTCAAGAAACGTTTAGATGAATTCCAGTTTGTACAAGTACAAAACAGATTGTGCTATGTTACATTTCCCTTTTGATCAATGAGCTAAACAAGGTACAGACTTCTGTAAATCGTCCACCCTTACTCCACCTGCATGCAGCATAAACAATATGAACTGCTACTCACTATACAGTGAACCCCTTTTTTGGGTTTACAAATGAAGGAAGCTGGTTTCCTATAGGTGCAGTTGTGTTGATAATTGCAGTGAATGCAATCAGCTGGCAGGCGACTACACAAACCCCGACTAGGACATTTGGAAGCGTAGTTCTCTTCATCTGTAGGAGACGCTGCAAAACGGCAAACACAAAATTACATTACGTTCCTACATTTCTAGTTAGAATAATCAATTTAATAATGCAATTTAATGTTCGTTTTATGACTTTATGTCTGGAATCATTAATGAGTGTGGCAATGGGCTTGTGACAACATCCCTTTCAAATCTCTTGCCAAATTGGGAAAATAAGGCTGTGGGAGGTACATGACTAACACTCTGCCCTCAACAAAAAAGCCATCAAATAGTCCTTGAGCAAGGCCATTCACTCCTGATTGCTCCATTAAGGCTGCCTGCTGGCCAGCAATGGAGAACTGTTGTTGCTCTGTTGAAAAGTTATTGCCTTTTCAAAGTCTAGACGACATAAGAGCAATATTGTCTTTGATATGATAACAAAAAAATTCCATATTTTAAGTTGAAGTGTAAAACACAGAAAACGCATTTGAAAACTGATCAATCCCAAACTGGCCATTGTTTCTGCAGTCTTGTTTGTGAATTTGCTCGTGAATGAAATTCCAGAGGATATAATGTGAGTGTCTGTATAGATGGGGTGGGGCAGAGTGGGTCCCTTTGATGTACAGACAGGTGTCAAATTAAAGAAAAAACCAACATAAAGTGTCTTAGTAAGGTGTCGGGCCACCACGTGCATCAAGAACAGCATCAACACTTTGTCATTTCCTCCATAAGTCTCTGGACTCTACTGCCCAAAGATATTCCCTCATTTGGTGTTTTGGATGATGATGGTCAAGTTCAGCCTCAATGTGTCAGTCCTAAATCTCCCATAGGTCTTAGATTGGGTTGAGATGTGGTGACTGCGGAGGCCATAGCATATGATTCACATCATTTTCATACTCATCAAACCATTCAGTGACCCCTAGTGCCCTGAGGAGGAGATCAGTCATCCTGGAAGAGACCACGCCCATCAGGATAGAAATGTATCATAATAGGATAAAGGTGATCACTCAGAATAACTTTGTATTGATTTGCAGTGACCCTTCCCTCTAAGGGGACAAGTGGACCTGAACCATATTCCACATCTCTGAACTCTCACATGTGCATTCATCTTTGTAATGAGAGGTTTATGCTCTGCAACCCTACTGTAATATCCCTGTGACAAAATCTGAATCCACTGGGCCTGCTCAGCAGTTCAACAACGCCAGAGAGCATGATTGGATGTTCATTTCTCAACTGTACCATGCAGTGCACCTGTGTGGGAACAGCCACTCATTTATTGAGGGGTTTCCTTTCATATGTGACCCGTCTGTATATTTGGCCATTGTAATTGTAAACCTGATGACTGACTGCTGTGTTTACCTGAGGCTGTAGCAGGGACTACTGGGCTGGTGATGACAGGTCCATGCTGGGCGTCTCTGGTGTAAGGGGGTTCCTGGCCAACATGAGGAGAGCTCAGGTACCCTGGCAAGTAAACAGACAATAAAAAAGATATACGACCCAAATCCAACTCACCCATCTGCTACAACCATGGATATAAAACCTACTATTTACATTACATGTTGGGCTGATTGTGGAAATACTGTTAGGTAATGGCATTTACGTGTTAGGAGACAGACAAGCCAGTAAGATAAATATAATCGAAGTTAGAAAATATATGATCAACTTAATTAACAATGCCATTAAACATGTAGCTAGAGAAGCTAGCTACATGTTTTTACCGAGGCTGGCTAGTGACATGCTGCCAATCAGCAGGGGCATTTAGCCAACTGTTAGCTCTCACATGTTATAAATTAAATACAAGGGACAACGTCGCCTGTTGTGTTAGACAAGTAACTGTTCAATCAGCGCTATTCACTGCTATCATTGCTAAGTAGCTCGCTAGCCCGCTAGCTAGCCAGTAAATGCTAACTCAGTGGGAGGAAGCTACCGTCAGTACGACAGCCCCAATGTACGTAACGTTAGCCATAAACGTGAGAAAAACTGGAGTAAATGTGTAACCGGATCCATTAACATACCGTTAACACACTGTAAGAACAGGTCCATGAACAAAACGATAACAATTCCGTAGGTTTTGAGGCACCGTCCTCGGTCCGGTCTCCATATCTGACAGCTAGTGGCCATTGTTACAGCAGAGCCAAGCAAAGCTGCATTCAGGGCATGTGGGAAAAAAGAGAGACAGTCAGGGATGCTCTGCTGGGAGGTATTAGTGCTCGCTAATATAGCACTGGTTGTTTGATTGTTACATAAAGCCGTGAAGATGCCATCGAAGAAGTATTCAGCTGATACTCATTTCTGATGCGTTTGCGTTACATCTGACCATTAATGTAACGTAGATCATATCTAAGCACTTGGCAATGTGGCATGTTTGAGTATATAGTAGAACTTCCAGCAAAGATATTGCAATAAATATCAACCAGTAATGCAGTAACCTTGAGAATTATAACTGCATTATTGTGACTATCCATTTTAAATATTTTCTCCTTTCAGTATTTTTAAGCTGAATGACACATCTATAATATCAGGTGGTGGCATCAACATTCAGTAAGTAACTAAAATACAGTACATCACAAGCCTTGTTTGAAAGAAGTGCGACTAGAGTAGAAGAAAATATTTATGGAAAAGTGTTTGTGTGTATGCTATCTTTGCCATGAGTGTGAACGCACCATAACAAGCAGCTGAACTTCCTGGTCCTGATCTTGCCACGCCCACCGCGCTCCAGATCAGTATATTATAAAGTGTATATATATAATATATAAAGTGTGAAGATTTTATTCAAATGTACTTTTTAATGAGGTCTCATTTCTGGTCAGAATGTCTCACTTAATGTGGTGTTTGTAGTCTATGAATTCTGTAGAGGACAGTAACACTACGGGGAAAAGAGCAAGAATGGAGAAATACATTTTACTGTCTTACACGGTTATATCTGACAATACATGCACTATGATCATGTGGCCCTGTATTGCTCTGTAGGTAAATAAAATCACTTCCACTGATAAAAGTTGCATTTCCATTGGTGAGAACTACTGGCTAACAACATCTGTATCTGCTCAGTTTCACGTTATTGCTTTGGAATGAGTAAACTATTCAAGCATGACAAATTTCTGAAAGCCTGTACATCTCTACAAACGAATCCTTCTGCTGTTCATCATCATACCAAATTCTTGTAAAAGAACCACAACATGAAGCTCTTCTTTTGTGACATTAAAAAGAACAATCACTCACATTCAGTAGATTTATTTTATTTCTGGGGTTTCCCATGGAGACAGACCTTTGTGAAAAATCTGTGCCAAACACATAATCTTTGTTATGAATGATAACACTGGTTCCTTCAATTACCAGATAACTTCCCTTCATAACTTGATACCCACACCACATACAAACACATCCTTTTTTTACCCCTTCACACATCATCATGTGGGCATTTAGCCACAGAATATCAGTTTATTAGTTCCTGTGTCTGATTTCTGTTCTACGTACTACACTTTCACTGTACCATCGTTCTATGTGCCATCATTTGTCCCTTTACTGCTCATCTGACTGTAGTTGAGGTATTCAAATGCAAGAGTCTGGATTGTTCTTGGTCTTCATCAGAACTCCTCCTCTGCGTTTCGACAGCGAGATTGTTTGAGCAGGGTCAGGCGAGCCAGAACCTCGGCCACCGAGAGTTCTCCATGGACTTTGTTGTCCCTCGTGCGCACATTGACGCCGTTAGTCATCTTCTCCTTCTCTCCGACCACTGCCAAAACACAAGAAGACAACAGCTTGACATGGGCCAAGTCACACCACACACACACAGCTACCCTAACACGTTCCCTGCTTTGTGCTCAGAATTCAACAACTGTGGGTGGTTAGCCAGCTTGGAGGTCCATTTGCTTTATATTCATTCAATTAAGACTTATTATTATTCTAATGGTGAGTCTGCTGACAACCCCACATCTAGAAAGGACCATAGCAGGTTTTAGCCGACATACTCAAATCACTTCTTCTCTACGTTCCTATTTTTCTGAAAAGAGTCCTTTATCTTTTAGATTTTTGAACACTTAAAAACACTTAAATTTACAGCCACTGGAACCATATTTAGTATACTTCCTCTGTCTACACTGTGCTGCCTCCTAGTAATTAAAAATAGATGACTTACAATGAGTGGATTACCCAATCAGTATTACAATCTAACAATACAATAATATAACATATGAATGTCGTGGAAGCAACCAATTAAATGTGCTTTTGAAGGGATTGCAGGCAACCCTAAGAGTAGCAAAAATGGTGTGAAAATGCTCTTGAATCAGTGGTCAGTTGGTGTTTTCAAATGCACATGGGGCAGTAAGATCTTCTCACCAAGAATGAAGTTGTATTGGGCCAACTGCGCGTTACGGATTTTCTTGTTAAGGAGACAGCTGGAGTCCAGGTCAGCATCTGCCATGAAACCAGCTTCTGTAAACTGCTTACACAACTGACAAGTGGGGAAAGAAAATCTTATTGAATATACAGCTCAAATCTGAATGCCACCGATAATTATTCATATGATCGTACTTAATTGTGGTCAAGATGGGGAAGTGGGAGACTTACCCTCTTGGCGTAGTCCTCACAGGAGGGGTTGACAGGCACCAACATCACCTGACGTGGAGAGATCCACAGAGGCCTTGTGGAAGGACACACAGACTCTAATGAAACAATCTTTACAGTGCTATACTGGTGTAAAGATAATAACATAACAACCTCCCTCGACAAAAAGAATCTAGGGTATGGTTGAAACGTTACAATACAATACAATACAACACAATACATAGTTTGACATTCTAACAAGATGGCATGTCACTCATAACCAGCCTAAAACTGTACAGTAACACAAAATTACAATTGTGTCTATTGAAACATCACAGCAGTGGACTCATCAGCACTTTGGGCAATGGCTAGCTTTTTCATTTTTGGAATTTAATAACTTTTTTAATTAAAGTTCTCAAGTGTAAGATTAACAAAAAAGCACCTCACCATTTCCCTGCATAGTTCTCTGTGAGAATGGCAATCATCCTCTCCACTGAGCCCAAGATGGCACGATGGATGATGACTGGTCGGGCTTTGTCATCCCCATCCTTCCTGTTTGCATCAGAAAGAATAATAAGGGTTCCTGTGAAATGTGTCAGTATAAATGTAGACTTATTCTTGGCTGACCATATTTATTATTGTATCTTTGTTTATTGTATTTGTCTTATCCTACTGATCTACACAGTCAGCTCTTCCGCTTTCCATATGTAATACTGGGCTGATGGGACTTATGCACAAGCTGTAAATACTATTAACTGCCTGTTGTCTATTGTTATAAAGGCTGTGCAGTGTCTTCCAATTCTGGGTTTACAAATTGAAGTTCCTGGTGAGGTGTTAAATCAGCTGCTCAATGAGTTAAAATTTGCATACAACTCTTCACCTCTGAAACACACAACTTGGCGGGACACAAGCTGAGACATCTTATTCATGAGGGGATTAACATAAAATCCTTGGTGCAGTAAAGTACACAGACTCAGCAGTGTGTCAATGTTTTGATTAGGTGACTCACCCCACAAAGGTCAGGTTGAAGCGGATAGGCAGCTGGAAGTCCAGCTGAATGGTTGCACATTGGTGGTAACGTCCAATTGCATCTTTGATCTTAATGTCAATCTGCAACAGCACACAAAGAATTACAGTGCCTTCCAGATATCGGGGGAATTAACTTGATTTTGTGTTAGGCAAGAAAATACAGAGAAATTATCTGACCTTGGGTCCATAAAAAGCACCGTCTCCAGGGTTGAGTTTCCATGGTTCCCCAAACTCATTCAAGCTGTTCTCCAGTTGCTGTCAATCATGAGGCATAGGTTAACATGTAATTTAAATCTAAACAATGGAAAGCAGTTACTATGAAGCTGGCCAAGTCATACTGCGGTACACAATTCAGTACAGAATACACAGTTCAGTCTGCACTTTGCACTCCCTACTGCACTTCTATATTTTATCCATATAAATATCTACTTACAACTGGACAAAATAAATGACATGTCACACAAATGAGCAATGTCTTATTGACAGCACACCTCCTACAGAAACCAATGAACTTCACAATGACTCACAGATGTGATACTACTGTATGATCACACAGCAGGGTTTCAGCTCTTTCACCAACAGTGCCAACTCAGTGTCAACATGAGCATTTATTTGCTAAAAGGTAAGGTGTGGAAAAGCCCTGGTGTATATATTAGGTTTACATCTTGTGCTCAATATTTACTAGAATTCGGCTGGTACCTGGAGTTCATTTTACACCATAAATCATAACTATGATGCATGATGCAGTTTACCTTCTCAGCCTGGTTCCACACAGCGATATCGCCCAGATACTTCTCTGGACGAGTGGAGAGGTGAAGCTGGAAGGAGAATCCAAACACATCGTAAACACAGCGGAGGAAGTCAAGACAGCCCTTCATCTCTGACTCGATCTGTAGAAAAAAAGAAAAGATTCAGAATTTCGGAAATGACTCATAATAAGTGGGTACTTGTTTTTCCACATGTTCAAAAGACCTAAAAACTGTGTGTAAAAACAGTTGAACACTACTGTTGTGGTCACCTGATCCATTGTGCAGAAAATGTGAGCGTCATCCTGCTGGAAACGCCGTACTCTGGTCAGCCCGGTTAGTGTTCCTGACAGCTCGTTTCTGTGGAGGACTCCGAAGTCTGCCAGCCTCAGAGGAAGCTCCCTCCACGAGCGAGGCCTGTGGCTGAACATCAGACTACAGGACAACCAGAGAGCAGAAAATCAAATAACTATGACACACTTTACATACTGTATGTGCCCAGTACAGCATTTTGGAAACAAACTCAACAACAAAATACTCTACAATTACCAGTGCCCGGGGCAGTTCATGGGTTTGAGTGCAAAGATGTCATCTTCCACAGGGAAGGAGAACATGTTTTCACTGTAGTGTTGCCAGTGGCCAGATGTCTCCCACAGTTTGCTGTTGTAGATGTTGGGGGAGGCTACTTCCTGAAAGCCTCTTCTCCAGTACTCATCCTAGAAAAACAACAAAACCACATAAACAAGCTATATCTGCCAGTTGGAAGGGCCCAGGTACTTTATTGAGCCGAGCTAAATCATGACTTCTGGCATCAAACTCCAGCTACTGCAATGGAAATCAAATCCTGTG